TCTCAAATACTAACAGCACAAGGCAGGGATGCCAACAATAATCTTTTCCCTATTGCCTTTGCAGTAGTGGAGTCTGAGTGCACAGAATCTTGGACATGGTTCTTACTATGTTTGGAGAAGGCCATTGGAAAAGGAGAAGAGTTTGGGGGCTGGGTATTCATGTCAGATAGACAAAAGGTAATGGCTATCATATATGTCTACTTTGCATTAATACATGTCAACTGTTTTTTTAACATTTTGCTGCCATATATAGGGACTACTCAAGGCAGTGGCTGAAGTTTTCCCAGGAGCTGAGCACCGTTACTGCCTTAGGCACCTACATGCCAATTTTTCCCAAGCAGGATTTAGAGGGGAATATCTGAAGGGTTTGATGGAACGAGCAGCATATGCATATAGACAATCTGAGTTCAATGCTGCTATGCAAGAACTAAAGGTTAACAATTTGAGTGCATGGGAGTGGCTAAGCAAGGTTCCAACCAAGCATTGGTGTAGATATATGTTCAGTTCTAGAGCAAAGACAGATCTTCTTCTTAACAACATAAGTGAAACATACAATTCAAAGATACTGGGAGCTAGAGATGAACCCATAATTACCATGGTTGAGCACATAAGGATAAAAATGATGGGTGATTTCAATAATAAGAGGGAAGGTGCAAAAAGGGACAATTGGCAAATCCCACCAAATATATTAAAGAAGCTTGAGGCAGAGAAGAGCGAGGCAAGATATTGCAAATCTGTGTGTGCTGGTAGGGGCATTTGGCAAGTGTCCGCATTTGGTAATCAATATGTAGTGGATTTGAACAAGCACACTTGTGGGTGTAGAAAATGGGATTTAACTGGAATCCCATGTTTGCATGCTGTTTCAGCTATTCAAGGTTTCAAGCAAAGGCCAGAGAGCTATGTTGATGACATATTGACAAAGGATGCATATGCGAGGACATATTGTGGGATGATTTATCCCGTTCCTGATGAGACACAATGGGAAAAAACTCCATTTCCAGATGTAGACCCACCTGTGGCTAGGACACAACCAGGGAGGCCAAAAACAAAGAGAACTAGAGCATCTGATGAACCTAGGGTTCAAGGAAGGTCGGTTGCAAAGACAACAATTAGATGTAGCGTCTGCAAAGAGTTTGGTCATAACAGCAGAAAGCATGGAAAAGACAACCATAGTTCTTCATCTCAAAATGTGAGTACACTACTAATTTATCATATAAAGACATTGTACTTTGCTACTTCTCACAATTTGTTGTCTGTTTCTCTCGGTGTAAAACACAAATAACTAGGAGGAAGAAGAGGAGCAATTCCCAGCCTATTAGTTCTAGTTCAAGAGATGATATTCCAACAACATCCACACAGCCACCAGTATATATGGACAATGCATTTGGTGTTGGTCTCTACCATCATGTGCCAGATGGGGCTTATATCGGTCCTACTGGAAGAAAGCTGCAAATTAGAAGAAAATGATCTCCTATTTTTATGCAGTGGTATTATTTACATCAAAATTCTTAGCTACAATTAGTGGGGGATGTTGATCCCTTCTTAATCTCAGTACTATCTTTTTTACGACAAATAATTTTCTGTACTTCTAACTATCAGATTTGAATTGTGATTTTTAAGGGGATTCTACTTCAATAAGCATGTCTTAAATATTCTGGAATGTGTTTTTGACTTGGTGTTTCCATTCTTCATATTGATGTGGAATCACGAATCATGAGGCAGACACTGTTGTTTTGCACTGGTGGACTAGAAATTGTTTTCCTGTTTTATATTAGCGTCATGTCGTCCTACCCGTATGGCTCGCGGAATTAAGAGTGGATGGAGATGCGCGCGGTTTTGCCGCCAAGGTGGCACAAGGAAACTTCGCTCATGGGCTGAGCTAAAGGCCCACGATAACGAGAAATTGAGCGCATCAGAGAAAGCGTGAAAACCGAATAGGGTGGGAAATTGGAAGAGAAATTAACTTATGTGTAGTGTTTTGAACAATATTGAGTTGTAGGGGGGAGAGTAGAAAGAGCAGTGACTTGTAGGGGGGTATTTGGATTTTCCCCTTGATTCATCGATGACCCTGGCTGCTGGCTGCTTTGCCTCTTTTCTAGTCTCCTTCTCCCTAGCCGAATGGGCCCAAAGCTAGCCCACTTGTCTAGCCTTCTGGAAGGACATCACAGCAGCCCATGTACATGACATCCACCCAGGACCAGGTGCGTGCATGCCCAGCCCAATATATGCCTCGAGCCACACAAGTCTATCGTACCAGCCTTCCTATTTATCTTGCACGAGGCGGCAGGGAGGTTAGGGCTTTTTCTACTTCTATACATGACAGTGATCATCGACGAGCCGCCGCCGGCCCCGGCGCCGCCGCAGCCGAAGCAATCCACCACGGCGCGCAGATGGTGGATGAAGGCGGATCCACGGAAGGCCGCGCAGCGCCGTATCTCCCGCGAGCTGGAGGATCTCTGGCTCGACCCGCCGGCGTACTGCCGCCCCGGCCCTGAACCCGTGACGGACCTCTTGCACTGGGAGGTGATCATCGACGGCCCGCCCGGCACCCCCTACGCCGGCGGCACGTTCCCCGTCGACGTCTGGTACCCCAACGAGTACCCCTTCCAACCCCCGAAGCTCACCTTCAAGACCAAGGTAAAATCACTCGCCCAATCTCTGAGTAGATCACTAGCTTGTGTTCATCGCCAGATATCCCAATTGATGCTTCAATCTCGTACGTACGAATGCAATTCGATCGCTGCAGGTGTACCATCCGAACATAGACGACGAGGGGCAGATGGTGGTGGACGTGCTTCACGGCTCCTGGGCTTCGTCTCCATCCTCTACGACCCGCTGCTCGACTACCCGATCAACGACGACATCGCGGAGCAGTACGAGAACGAGTACGAGCTGTACGAGAAGGAGGCGAGGGAATGGACGCGCAGGTACTCCTCCACGCCCATCGCCTCGCACTGGCTACCCAAGGCTATGAGGACGCCGCCGGCCGTTCCTCACATTCCGGCAACCGCAGAGAGAAGAGAAGAAAGCAGGTCGCTGCATCTAAGGCTTCTTCTTCTTCGCTAAATCAACTGCGGCGGCGGAAGAAGAAATCCATCGAGGATGAGAGTTTGTGGAAGAGGATGGTAGGGAGGATAGTAGGGTTTCTTCAGGGCTGGTGGTCTCCTAATTACCGTCTACTGTGTTGGTGATAGTACAAGTATTGGGAGGCATGTAAACTAGTAGTGTCAATTATGAGTTACTTCATCCGTTTCATAATTTAAGTTTTTCTAGCATTTCTCATATTCATATATATGTTAATAAATCTAGATATATATGTGTCTATAGATTCATTAACATCTATATAAATATAAGCAATGATAGAAAGTCTTACATTGTGAAACGGATGTATATATACCTCGAATGTGCTGGTATATACGCAAGTTACCTCACCTAGCTAGACGGCTCGTCGATTAGATTCATGGTTATATATAGCTGATTCCATTAATTGTTCGGGTGTGTCACTTACAGATAAGTGTTAGTGTGTGTGACATTATGTTGAAATCATTCAGCATGACGCCTTCGATCATCATGGCATTGCAGTCATTTTTTTTAAATAATTAATATACAATATTTTTAGTAGAAATTTAAATAGCACCCCAACCAGCAATCTAAAGACTACCTTCGTTTTTTTATTAAATGACGCATTTCACTTTTTCATAATGTTGGGTCATTCACTCTACTTAAAAAAATAGTGTAAATATGCTAAAATATATATCATACTTAAAATTTATTTAATAGTAAAACATGTACAACAAAATAAATGATATTTGCATAATTTTTTAATAGGACAAATGGTTAAACGTCATGTTAAAAATCAATGACATCATCTACTAAAAACATAGTTGTATTGTTGACAAAATATTGCCCACAGGATGCAATTGTCACAACCAATTGAAATCCGATAATACATTTTTAGTGTTCTATTAAATAACATTATTTCTTCCCCAAAAAAATAACATTATTTCAAATAATTTTGTTGCAATCAACATATCAAAAATTCAAAACTACATATTCAGCCCTAATTAAGCTCCCAACCTATGAAAATGAGTTAACAATAATATAAATATTACAATCATGCATAGAATGGTATTATTTTATTCTGTAAATAACTATGAGATGGGCATTGGGGTTGATTTTTGCGGGTAATGTTTTTTTCGCGGGTAATATTTGACTCGCTCTTTTTCTTAGATAATAGAAATGTATTATACCCTCGGTTTCTATTATATAGCACACAGCTAGCTAACAAGCTTTTTAACTCATGAACTGAATAAAAAAAACAAATAGATGATAAAACAAATCCCTAATTACCATAAAAAGATAACCTTGATAGACTTAAGGTAAATTTTGCTATATGACATCGCGACTTCGTGGTTTTAATACCATATAGATTACAACAAGTAAGCCTATATATATCATATCACTCATAGTGGAATAAGATATACTCCCTCCGTCCTAAAATATAAATATTTTTAGCATAGTGACAAGTCAAACATTTTCAATTTTGACTATATATTAATAGCAAAAAAATAAAAAAGATCACTCATGTAAAATTGATGTTACTAGATATATCATTAAACAAACTATCATAATATATAACCATTTTTATTTAAAACATATTACTTTTATAGCTATTGTTGGTCAAAGTAGCATATCAGAGACGGTACCATAATCTAAAAATGTTTATATTTTAGTACTATGGGAGTTTTTGGTTATCAACTTTACAAGTGTAGCATCATTACACAATAATATTAATTGAACTAACACGGGTCAACGATTACGAGAGAAGTCCACTCATGTTCATCCCTAAAGAATAGCCAATATAAGTGACCTGGCGCCGTGTGGTCTACTGCTTTATTGACGTGCTGCATTTTCCATTTTAACAAGATCGGCGGCCGTTACACGGAGCCAAAATTGTTCATGGGGAGCATAGAAACGAAGTGATGCAAAACACACCGCTAAGCCCAACAATAAACCGGAATATCCGCTCCAAACTCTCCTAAACCTCCCCGCGGTACTTATCAACCCCAAGATCGCCTCTCTCTCTCTCTCTCTCTCTCTCTCTCTCTCTCTCACCACACCGAGTTTCCATCCTGCCCGTCAGGCGCTAGGCCGCTAGGGCCGGCGTGCAATACATACGTGGTAGTAGTAGTAACAATGGGCAGCGAGCTGCCGGCCGCGGCGCCGCCGCAGCCGAAGCGATCCACCGCGGCGGCGGCGGTCGCGCGCAGACGGATAGGGCGCGAGCTGTGGCAGTTCTGGCTCGATCCGCCGCCGTACTGCCGGCCCGGGCCATCCCCCGTGAAGGACCACTTCCACTGGGAGGTGGTCATCGATGGCCCCGCCGCCACCCCCTACGCCGGCGGCGTGTTCCCCGTCGACGTCTGGTTCCCCTACGATTACCCCTTCCGTCCCCCCAAGCTCTTCTTCAAGACCAAGGTAATCGCTTGCGTAATCTACGCGTTCCTCGATCTGTCGCGTGATCCAAGATTGCTCATGTTCATCGCCAGTTCTCGCTAATTTGTTTTGCTACCTTTCAATCTCATGAACAGGTGTACCATCCGAACATTGACGGGAAGGGGAGGATGGCGCTGGACATCTTCCAGGACAACTGGTCACCGGCCTTGACGATCAACAAACTCCTCTTGTGCTTCGTCTCCGTCCTCTTCGACCCCCTGCTCGACCGCCCGACCAACCGCTGCATCGCCAAGCAGTACAAGCACGAGTACGAGGCGTACGAGGAGAAGGCCAGGGCTTGGACGCAGAAGCACTCCTCGACGCCGATCGTCTCGCACTACCCACCGTACGCTGTCATCGGCAGCACGCCGCCGGCTGTTCCTCACTTCCCAGCGACTGCAGCCAGGAGAAAGGCTGCTGCATCTTCAGCTTCAGGTTCAGTAAGCAGCAGCCGCATTCCGTTGCTTATGAAGGATGAGAGTATCTGGAGAAGGACAATGAAGTTTTTTCAGGGTTAGTCTTCTTAATTATCGTCTACGTACTGCACAGACACTGAAAACAGATAAGGGAAATTAGAGTTCTTTCTTCCTCACAGATGAAATATGTTATATCTAGAATTTTATTTTACTGTATTGTGAATTGTTGAGAGGTATGCATACTTGTATCAAATCTTCAGGTTATGATCTGTCACCACACGGTAATGACATGGAGCTGCTGACTATGAGGAGTGATAAACAAAGTCCTTATTTATCTTTTTAGTCTGATGTGCAGCACTTAACTTTCCACTCTGTTTCTGATGTGCAATCTTTTTGCTTGTTCGCGAAACTTTTCATTCTGTTTTGTAAATAAGTGTTGATATATATGTGAGCACTGGAGCCAGTGTGATCTGTGAGACTGTGACGCATTATGTCGAAACCATTCAGTATGCCGTTGTTTTGGTGGTGCGCCTCGAGCCATATATATCCCACAAGGAATGAATCAAAATTTTAGAAAATATGTTAGTTCCAGGAAAAGCTTTGCTTTGCTTTTGAGATAACCAAGTGAAATGGCTATCCAAATTACTTCAGTAATGTGTACATTGTACTGTTGGAGGTTACCTCATCAGCCATTTAGATGCTATCAGCTTTCCGACTTTAGATGACCATGTGTACGAGCACTTCCTAAACTAAGAGAGATTGAGCCGACAATAATTAAGTTAATTGTCAGCATGAGTTGGTGGTGACTAAGTTATGAGAAGAAAGTTATAAAAGGGACGAGGAAAGATACAAAACGTCAAGCGAACTACTAGATATAGTCATATCAATCTACGAGATATACAGTCATATACCAGCTCAATTACTAGGAATCTAATGGCGCAGCATCACAAACAAACAATCCTGAAAAGTATCGTGAACCACTTTGGGATCCACTAGCGGACCGAGAGACACCGAGTGTTTTTGGCACGCTTCTTCATGCTAGCATACACTTATCGAGCTGTTGCTAAACTTTTCTTGCTCGGAGTGGTAGCAATGTATTGTAGCATAACACTAACACGTGTTGTAGACATCTGTTTGTACCGTGTTTTCTTATTTAAAAAAAGTTGCAGCGCGTAGTGTATGTTAGTATGTACTACATCCGTCCCAAAATAAGTGTAGCCGTGGGAATCCGTGTCTAACGTTTGACTGTCCGTCTTATTTAAAAAAGTTATAAAAAAATTTAAAAAAAGTTAGTCGCGCATAAAGTTCTATTTATGTTTTATTATCTAATAATAATAAAAATATTAATTATTAAAAATTTTCAAATAAGACGAACGATCAAATATTGAACGTGAATAGTGTAAAACTTATTTTGGGATGGAGAGAGCAGTGCTATGAGTTCATGCAAAGGCGCAGCACGGGCGCACGGCCCTGTACTCCAGGCCTCCGGGGCATGGCAGCCGGGGTAACCGGCCCACCTGCGGTTGCAACGTCAAACGGCCCACGCGACGCGAGCGATGCGCCGCACCCACCGCCGCGACACAAACACTCGTGGGCTACGCACGCGTGGCCGCGCGAGCGAAAGAGCTATATAGCCCACGGGCTCTACGCCCGCGCAGCCACCCACCCGGCCGAGGCCGTCGTTGGCTCGTTGCCGCGTAGCGAGCGGCAGCGACGCCGTGAGACCCGTAGTCCCCACCACACAGCCCCAATCCGGCGAGGAAAGGAAAACCACATGTGTGTCGTGCCACCGCGCCAAGCAAAACGGTAAGCGCGCGGTCCGATTCGGGCGCGCGTATGTCGCCCACGCGTGTGCTCCTGTGCTACTGCAAGCAAAACCGCCAAATAAATGCATGCCCATGTAAACGAAACGTACAAACAGTCACGCGAAGGAAATTGACACACACATACGCACACCTCACACGTCCATGTCGAGGAAACGTGTCACGCCAGAACACGTCGACGTCGATACGCTATAGCGCAGAGGGCACAGTGCGCACATCACCCGACCGGGCCCCCAAAATCACATCAAAGCCCAATCCTCCGAAAGTCTAACCTCCACACGCAACAATGAAGCTTCTTGTCAACAAGCGCGTCCGCGTCTGCGTCTCCCTCTTTGGCGCTTCGATAGGACACGCAGCACGGCGCACCCCCACCCTCCTTGTACGCGCGATCGAATTCGATTGGCGCCTCTCGGCTTTTTTTTTCCCAGATAGCCCGCACACACACACACCTGGTTGGATGGAGGCTGGCACGACGGCCACTCGCACCGGAAAATGTATGCATATGCATGCGTGCCATGGCGTGCCGCGTCGGGTGGATGGCGACGTGTTACCGGTGGACGACGACGACGACTCGGGTGATGGATACGTAGCCGGAAAAGGATCAGATTATCAATCGATCCAACATGCTCGGATCGATGCAGAGTACCAGCCGGTGTACGTGCTTTAATGAAGTCCAAGTTATTAGCCGTCGCCCGGCCGGCGGTCGATCAGCACCAGGTTTGTTTCTTTTAGCCAACGTTCAAAAACTGTTGCTGAGTAACTGACCATTAGAGCAGATACAATAGCAGACTATAAGCCAGTTATAAATATATTTTAAAGAGATAAAAGAAAAGAGAGAATAGCAGCAGGCTATAGATTTGTAGCCAGCTGCAGCATGGACTTCAAGATATAACGTGTGTATGATAAGTGGGACCAGATATTAATAGTGTAGTAAACAACTATTATATGAATTGGCTATTACATTGGTTATACATAATTTAAAGTTAGTAGTTGGCTATACTATTAAAGTTGCTCTTACAACTCCGAGTATACCGATGAATGTCTTGCAGTACTTGCCTGCTTTCAGAACGTGTCAAAATACTCCATTTGGCATCCATTCGTGTTCGTCAAAAAGTAGAAATTAATGTAGAGAGAATCAGACCAGCTAGGGAGGAGTAGAACCATGCTTCGACGTAAGAACAAAATGGTTTGCATTGGCATGCATGCCTCGCCATCGTCGCCGGGCGTCTTAGCCCATCCCGTATCTTTTCGCCCATCGTCATAACGCGCGGTATACGTACTTGACTATACTTGTGCCGTTGTGCGGTTGCGCTTTCTGTGTTGCCATTATTGAAGACTGAAGAGAGTGCAACACTCCAGCGACTAAAGCCTCTCTCACTCTCTTTATTCTCGTCGTAACAACCAGTGCAACTTGTTCGGCTTATGGATGTCCAATCATACATTTGCAAAAGTATCTGAAAATTCAGATAGCAGGAATATATATATTTCTTTGGAGTATATAAACCAACTTGATTTCATTGTCCAAAGTACTCACACACGAATACAGGCTTACAGTTTTGGAGCTCTTGTACTTACTAAAGAAGAAGCTACAAACGCAGCACACACACACCCATTAATTTACATTTACAGAGTAAACATTTCGGCCAGTACTTGCCAAAGAATTACTACATGACAAGCTATATATGTCACCTCTACTGGATTTGTGTAGTGTATCATATTTGGAGTTCTGCTGTTCCACTTTCAAATACTCTGTACCCCCTGGCCTCGACAACATAAATTAATTAACATTACGCTAATATTGTTTTTGAGTTGTGTTTTCTTATCTAAGCGCTAGAGCAAACACCTTTACCAATTCGTTTTTATCTACCTTGTGATATGTTCATCCCCATGCTTATGTAACAGCTTGTGTGGTTGAATTGATGAATGGCGTGCTAGCTAGTATAGCCAATAGCAAATGGATTGCCCATTAATTTACCCAAGTATCCATGCGGACCATGCCTGGGTGCGCGTTCGGCGGCGCTCTCGGCGTTCTCAGCTGCAGCCGCCGGCGGCGAACCCGATCCTGCTGCTCTTGACGTCGTAGACGACGCTGAACGTCTGCTGCTGCGTGTTCCCGATGATGGCGGCGCTCCTGGCCGGCGCGAACGCCAGGCACGTGGTGGAGTCGTCGACGTCGACGAGGAGGTTCTGCGCCGACAGCTTGAGCGCCGCGCCGCCGGCGAAGGACATGGTGACCGCCGGCGCGCTCACCCGCGAGGCCTGGCCCTTGAAGCACGTGTCGAGGATGGAGTACGCCGACGCGCGGGACGTCCCCTTCATGGCCGCCGCCACCGCCTTGCTCAGCGCCGAGTACACGCTCGTCGGCAGGCGCGTGATCACCGTGCCGGAGTCGATGATCGTCGGCAGGCTGGAGTACGCCGACGACGACACGGACAGCGGATTCCCGGCGACCGTCATCCCGGACAGCTTGATGAAGTAGAGCGAGTCGTCGAGCGAGCTGGACACCATCGGCGTGTACGAGTATTGCCCCGGGTTGTACGACCCGAGCGACAGGTACCCCGATGACGACGACGACGGGAGGCAGTAGGTGAAGGAGTAGCCAAGGCTTGGCGCGAGCTGGTACAGGAGCGAGAGCTTGTTGCGGGCGAGGCCGATGAGCCCGGCGGATCGGCCGAACAACCCCTCGTTGTCCTGGCCACAGCCGTAGTAGAAGTTTGGCAGCGACGTCGAGCCGAACGAGACGGTGTCCTTGCTGAGGTAGCCGACGGAGAAGGAGCTGTCGCCGTAGCTGGCCTGGTAGATGCAGACGTTGGAGGAGGAGCAAGCCGACGGGTTGAGCGTGGCGGAGGGGAGGTCGCTGCACTGCTGCGCGGAGCACCCCACGGAGGCGTAGGTGCTCGACGACTTGGGGTTGAACACCGGGCCGGACTGCCGGTGGCACGACACGAGGCACGGCGAGCACTGCAGCCAGGTGAGCGAGGAGCCCGTGTCCACGACCATCACGTACTGCGTCGCCGGCGTGCCGAGGCCCATGCGCGTCACGTAGTTGCCCACGCCCACGGACGCGCCGGGGCTGAGCGGCACGGACGCGAGGGAGCCGGCGAGGCCGGCGTCGGCGTCGGCGTCCAGGGAGGTGGCGCGCGCCGACGGCGTCTTGGCGAGGCGCGCCGCCAGCGACGAGATGCGCGCATCGTCGTGGGTGAGCACCGCCGTGAACGGGAGGTCGGCCGGGACCGGCGCCGGCGAGCAGGGGCTCCGCGGGTGGTGCAGCTCAAGGTGCAGGCCCGTGCTGTTCAGGTACTGGAAATCTGCACAAAATTCACCGGCACGTCCTTAATTCGCCCGCGTCAATTCATCCAATTTTTACCGCAACCATGACAAAAAAAAACTACTTTAAAATTAGAGATTCTAAACAAATTCTGCCGCGGCTATAAGGCCATTTGCAATTAATGGGAGGTGTCATTTTTATGTTTTCAAATAAGCCACATAAACAACAATGCATTTAATTGATGATTGAAAATACACTATACTCCCTCCGGTTTCATTTTATTTGACGGTTTGGACAATGACACGGTTTACAAAATATATATTTGACCTTATATTTTCTATTATAATATACACAATAAATAAATGCATGTTTACTTTTATTATAGTGTTTTGAAAGACAAATCTACGTATGTTCTTTAAACTAAATATTTTTAAAGTTGTTGATAGTCAAAGTTATAAAAGTTTGACATCAATCTTATCCAAAACATTAATTATTATATAGAACCGGAGGGAGTAGCTCGTTAAACATGGCCATCAGTTCCGTTGCGCCATCTTGTCGTCAATTTTTTACAGTAGTAGCCGTCTTGTGACTGGACAGTGACGTATAACGAGACGTACGGACATTATACAACTAGGGAGAAGTACTGGGCATCAGATTGTATAAATGTCCCAGCTCATATGATTTCCGTTCCCAATCGAGTGTGGATATGTCATCACATGATCCAATTGTCCAAACAATCATGCAACAATAATTCATTTATTTATGTTACAGATAAGGAGTGTCGATCATATATATGACTTGCAGCTGTGTTGCGTGCTACTGGGGAATATATAAATGTACGAACAGCGTACAACCCGGGCACGTACCCAAGATTGCGGTCACGTATCGATCAAGCATTCAAGCTCTTATTGATGGTAGGATTTGCAGTTGGCATTATCTGGTCATAACCATATTAAATCCCAAGACAACGCTGGATCGCTGTAGGTGGTAGATAGGCTAGCTAGTTAACCAGCATAGTCATTGTGAAATTGAGTGAAATATTCTCGGTAGAAGGCCCACGCATGGAATAGTAGTCTCAGTTAATTTCCAGTGTTTGTGAACTAGTGCAAAATGGAAGATTCTACTTTGGCATTGCTTAGACAATCTAAGAGCTTGGACGTGCTAACATTAGTCCAACAAGAGAGGAAACACGTCAAAAAGGGACTGAAGTTGATGCATTTGGTTGGTAGTTAACATGATACACAAGATAATGGAGTGATTGTCTGATGTCTATAACGAGGACCACAAATTAACACAACACCCAGTCTTGGTGCCTAAGTACAGAACACCTACAAAGCATATGGTACCTTGCCTTCCCCCCTCTATTATGACGAGCAACCAAAGATATTTTTTCTCAAGTGGGAACAACCAGGATTGTACTGCTGCTTTGGATGACTGGAGAACTAACCACTTCTGAAGAAGCCAGGGGGCGTTGGACTGGACCATCACGTACAACAGTAGTACTACTTCCATATCAAAATATAGCAATGTAACGTATCCTAGTGTCTCATCATATATTAAGCTGTTATACTTATTTTGATACGGTGAGAGTACAATCCAGAGGTGGCCCAGCTAACTAGGCAAACTATTTACAGCAGCACCGAGTTTCTGTTGAGCGTGCCTACATGCAGCCGTAATATCATCGATCGGTGCTGGATGATTCAAGTCATGGCAAAAGAAAAAGTTGCCAAAAAGGAAGCCATTTGCAATGGCATTGAAAAACCCCACGTATCGGTGACGTTTTCTAGCCGATCGATCCGGTGCCCATCTCGGCGGCCATCCTGTCCGGCGCATTTGTGGTCGCGCGCGGCGCATGATAGGCTGATAGATATGGTGGTTTGGCATCGGTGGTTTCACGGGGGAGAGGCGAAGTATGGCTACCGTTAGAGCTTCACATCATGGCCTTCCATGACAGCAGTCAATCGAACCACTAACCGGCCATCAATTTCGACTGAGACCATATATAAATTGCGATGGCTCAGTGAACAGTGTACCGTGTACGGCCTTCGATTGAAGGCTGGCTTTGGTCGTATTGGAAAGAGACAAGTCTCTCCAAAGTATTGTTCTCTGGTATTGGTCATCACTGACATATAAACTCGCTGAATGTGAAGTCCACATATTATATCTACTTAAAGTCAGAACAGGATGCTATCGAGAGGACTCAATAGGAAGAGTTTTTTTTTTCTTAGGAAAATATGCCATCTTGGACGGAGTTTTTGCCGCTAATAATGGATTTGTACAAAAAAAATTGTCGGTCAGGACAAAGCATTGGAAAAACGCTTGTGTGGTGATAAGATCGATCGCTGCACCTGCGTGCCGCCCGGCAACAATTAGCCGTCGACAAAAGTGTGTACCTAACAAAACTCTTTTCTTCTGGTGGCGACGGATCATTGACTGTCCTGTATATTTTAATTCAAGGCGGCGAAAAGAGTTGGAAAAGAAGAGAAATGATCGAGCCGAAAAGATTCGATTTTGGTTGTCATTTGGCTCCCACCCTCGCTGTCATTTCTTCATTTTTTTCTTAAGTTAGTTATAGTATCGACAAAGAAAATTCAGACTTCCCCTGAAAATGTTTTCAGGGGAAGGATACTACATGACCAATACAAATTTGTGGTTACACTACCACCATATTTACGTCCATTCACCATGTTGATTCTAGTTGTACTAGTTTAACCGAGGTGCTAAAACAAGCAAAGACTCCAGGCTAGAAAAAAGGAAGTGGTGCCTCAAGCTGATGTGATGCTATTTTGACTGCAAACTGAAATTGGTTCTTCAAATCCTACTTATAGGTGCTTTAATTGGTACTCTTGCTCTTTCAGTCTTTCTACTCAATTGGCTAGCGCTATGTAAACTCAGTAGTAAGCTGTACTGTTATGGATATGTCAACAAAGCACATATCTTTCATCTACTTGCAGAAACCAGACATAATTAACAGCATGAATCAAGAGAAAGCTAACTAATTAAGACAAGGAGGATTATTGATACCCTTGATCTGTGACGAGCACACATCGGTGATGTCCCTGATAGGGGTCGCCACTGCGAAGAGCAGGGAGAAGGCAAGCAGGTGAAGAAGATGCAGCGCCATCTTATCTCTAAACTCTGAAACCACCTCCGTCTTGCAGGTGGTTCAGTGGTGCGTATGAGTTTATGACTACAAGCTCAGCCTTTTTATAGAGATTCCGAGTGAGCTATAGCGCGCGCTAGCTCTTCGGGCTTCGTGGGAATCTCACGAGTAGCTTTCAGTTCAGTTGCTGAAGTAATCTTTTTATCCATGGCGTTCCAAGCTAGCTTCCAACCACCTGGTTACTGAAATAACTAACGTACGTTTCAGTACTACGACTAGTACCTCCGTGATCAAAATCATCAAAGATCTTTTTTGACGTGGATGATCACCGTAGATATATATATATATATATATATATATATATATATATTTCAATTGAAAGTCCTCGTTATCGACATAATTATGATGGCATAAATCAACAGTTCAAGTAGTATAGTCTTTCTCAGTTTATTTCCTGTTTCATATTTTTGCCTTCTTTTGGTTCTAATTCGGAAGCTTCTGATGTCGCTTGTGCTGCTACTGTATCGTTGCCCTCAATAACAAGAATCTTTAGTTAATCATGCTGTAATGGGACGGTGATGCAAAAGCTGCTTAGCTGCTTTTGTTCCTACGGCTCAAAGTAAGTAAGGTTAGGTGCACACAATTATGGATTCGGCTAATCAGGCTCAATTAAGCTGGCAGTTAAGCGCACCTATCTAGCAAAAATGCAGTATGAGCCCTCTACTGATGAACACATCTGTCCATCAAGCAACATCGATCAGTATTAGCGTCGACACTAAGGTAGTTTTCAGGGCACCACATTGACTCCGGTATTAGACACAACTACAAAAGTGTGAGAAAGATGACGAGCTTTTAAAGGCTGCATGCCATATTCTTGAGACAGGTTATCCAACTTTTTGTCAATTTTGGACAGAGGTTCACAAACAGAATTCAATAATTTTGTACTCTTTATCTTAGGTTAGCAGTCTTTAGTTTGTTTGTTTTTGATGATTGGTTTCGTCTTTTTAAGTTTCTTTGAACTTCACTCATTTTGAGTGTGAGGTTATAATAATTGGCTGTAGCTCTTTGAGCAAAGGCTGGGATGCTCTATTCCATTATCTAAAAAAAATTAGCATCCACACCTATAGACATAGTAGCTAGTGCCTGGCTTTTTCATCTAAGTCCTTTTAAAAAACTTATTTATTTTATAAATAAATCCAAAAAAATAGACCTTTTTCTTGGCGCCAGTAATCCTACACCGAGGTCCAACATCTCTGTTAACGACCAAATTTGGTAATATCAGCATCGGAAAAGGAGATTAGATCAAGGTGGAGTTGAAGGCGGAGATTGATCCGAGAACAGAGCAAGAATCGGCTGAAGTCCAGATCGGCTACGATTAGGATCAGCTGGGTCTGAGTCGGACAAGGTGAGCCGATGCAGCCGATTTTAACATTATAATTTGGTGTGTGATATCGGGTTGAATTGAGGTGCTTCAAGATTATTGCCGCACATGGATAGAGTCCTGAGAAGACAATTGTATCTATTAATTAGGATTTTTTATGTAACTTTATTAGAGATATGTTTGGGCAAAAGTCTGCCGCAAAGACTTATGGTATCTTAGAGTTTGTTAGAGATAGTGGTCGTGTCCGGTATGGACATATCTTGTAATTCTCGGGTATAAATAGACCCCGAGCCCTATGTAATTTTTAACACACACGTTCAATACAATTTCGGCGCATCGCCACCTTTTTGCTTTAGTTTTGTTTCGACGAGTTCTTGCTTTCGGGTTGAGCTGCATCGGTTTCAATCTTCAACAAGAGGTAAAACTTGTTATGACGACTTGTGTTCTCGAGATTAGTGCTTCCATCTTTATGACACTCTAATCTTGTCTATATAATTCGTCGAGTTATCATATATCTTACATAATCTTTGGCAATATCGTCATCTAACCTACAATCGGCTAACATCTGTTAATAGAAGGCAGCCGATTAGGTTAAATAGCGACGTTGTCCTAGATTATGTAAGATATCTACCACTTTATGAAACACCCAGCGGCTTGATTGTCTAGATATTGTTCTTCTTTTCATACTTAATGCTACATCAGTTGAGTTTGATCTATTAAGTCGTGCTTAGAATATCAATCTCTAGCATGTCCTCTGGTTGCCGATTAGGGTAGTATCGGAGTTTCAACCGATCTTATATGATTTAACCATATTCGATCTATATGCTTCAATGACATGTTAAATCCGCCCTTTATGTCAGGATCTTATTGCATTTAAGTATATTAAGCTTTTGTTTGGTATATTATATTTGTTTTGATATCTTTATATAAAGTAGTATCAGAGTATTAGCCGATACATGTTAGATCTATCTGATCGGCTATGCTATAAACATATATAATCCTGTTATTAATATATATTTCGATCTAAGTGATTTATACTGTCTCGGCATGGTGACCGATCTATCCCAATCACTTGATTTAAGTATATATTAATATAAGAACTATATATCGTTAATATCTACAGCCGATCGAATAGATTTAGTTCCTCACTATCTATTTATAACCGCCAATCGATTCATATATGACATCGGCTCAAAGATAAATGATATGTCATCGGCACCTAGCCGATCGGCTATCATTTATAGATTTAACCACGAATTCTTTGTCTCTATTTCTTGTTGATTACAGGATCAAATCAATTGGCACGCTCATACATTCGAAGACGAGCTTTGGACCTGCATTGGAGCTTTGGACAAAGGTGCTACCGACGGTTCTCTAGGAAGTCAAGGTTACAACTCTCAAGGGGTCCATGGAGTTCAAGGCGATGGAGCGCATGGAGTTCAAGGTGATGGTGCTCAGGAGTTGCAAGGGGGAAATCTTAATCAGAATAGTGATGCGGCACAAGATTTTAGCCGATTGTAGGTTAGATGACGATATTACCAAAGATTATGTAAGATATATGATAACTCGACGAATTATATAGACAAGATTAGAGTGTCATAAAGATGGAAGCACTAATCTCGAGAACACAAGTCGTCATAACAAGTTTTACCTCTTGTTGAAGATCAAAACCGATGCAGCTCAACCCGAAAGCAAGAACTCGTCGAAACAAAATTAAAACAAAAAGGTGGCGATACGCCGAAATTGTATTGAACGTGTGTGTTCAAAATTACATAGGGCTCGGGGTCTATTTATACCCGAGAATTACAAGATATGTCCATACCGGACACGATCACTATCTCTAACAAACTCTAAGATACCATAAGTCTTTGCGGCAGACTTTTGCCCAAACATAACTCTAAGGAAGTTACATAAAACATCCTAATTAATAGATACAATTGCCTTCTCAGGACTCTATCCATGTGCGGCAATCATCTTGAAGCACCTCAATTCAACCCGATGTCATACGACAAATTATACTGTCAGAATCGGCTGCATCGGCTCACCTAGTCCGACTCAGATCCAGCCGATCCTAATCGTAGCCGATCTGGACTTCAGCCGATTCTTGCTCTGTTCTCGGATCAATCTCCGCCTTCGACTCCACCTTGATCTAATCTCCTTTTCCAATGCTGATATTACCAAATTTGGTCGTTAACAATCTCGACACCAATGATATTAGTGCCAACACCCTTACACCCCTATGGAAGCTAACTCACTAATATGAAGGGGAATGACGCAAATGACATTGGCATTGAGGACCTATCTACACTACTTAAAATGACATCAAGACCTATTTATAAGAAAAAAAATATTTACATTGTATCCCTTTCCAATAAAAGAAAAAACAACAGGTCCTTGGTGTTGTCATTGTCGTCGTCCCCCTTCGTATTGGTGACTTAGCTTCGACGGGGTGAAGCGTCAATGCTAACGTTGGCACCACCGAGATGTTGGACCTCGGTGCCAACAACCATGGCACCGAGAAAAGGATCCGTTTTGAAAATAAGTTTTTTTACGGGTCTATTTATAAAATAAGCTTTTAAAAATGACTAAAAGTTGAAAAATAGTAGTACCGCTTTCACAATCTGTAGACTGCAGTGGTTAGTGACTGCTAATAGTAAGCTAGCTTGAGCAACCATCCAAAATAATCAAGTTAGAACAGGCCCGACCAAAATAACAGAATTTTTAATCTGAACTAGTACGTACTAACTACTACTCATACATAGTCTCAGTCCAAATCATAGAGAAAGAAGAAAGGGAACCTACCCATCGATATAGTACTCATCAAGGAAAGCATAATGCTATCATGTTCGTTGGTGGAAATTCAGTTATCAGAGAGAGTGATTGATCAGATTGAGAGAGAGAAAGAGATTCCCATGCGTGATTTAGTCGATCGATCGATGAATATACCATCTTTTTCTCCGAAGCTTCAGCACTAAGCCTCCTCCGGCGATGGGGGCAAATTATAAAGACAATGGCCTTATGCACATATCCTAGCTGAAAACCATGAGAGACTGTCTAAGAATATAATCTCTCGTCGATCAGGCTCGTAGTACCAACCGGCGAGACGACCGTCACCAGCAAAGGAAATGACCATCTTACCAACCACGTGAGATGTCCCGAAGCTAAAGCGCGCTCGGGCACCAAGAAATCATGCCCACATTATCGAAGTAGTTAGTTAGTTACCACCAGAAAGAATCATCCATGGCGTCCATTGGCAGCAGGTACGTATACTCGTACAAGTAGTATAGTATTAGGTGTAGCTGGTATAGTGCGTGTATACGCCGCTAATATGATGGCGCGGCTACTTATTGTGTTAGGGTCTGTTCACTTTGATGCCATTTTCAACCATACTAAATTTTAGTAAAGTTGTCAGAAAAAAATGGCTATATTTAGTTTACTGTCAAAATTTGGTAACTATAAAAGAAATTTGGTAAGGTTTTTTTTTCATCAAAGTGAACAGTCCTAATTAACCCCTTGTCGCGAGTTGAGAGCTTGACATAGCTTAGGCTTCGTCCCGCAACGGGCGGCGGCACGCCACCACATGCAGCGTCTTTGCGTTGGTTTGGTGCCGCGAAGAGGAGGAGGAGGAGGAGGAGACGACGGGGCGACGTCAGAAAATTATTAGATGGGCTACAATGCATATCCGGCTAGCCCACAGGTTTATAGCCCATTAGTTGCACTTAAAGAGACACAATTGTTTGTTGGGCTGTTTCCCTTGCCAGTTGCCTAAATGCAAGCATATCAGAGCCCAAGTTTATCTGGTCCAAGGCTTGTATAGTATTTCCCTCTACTTCTATAACTAATATAAATATTCGTATTTTTCCGGTCGTCACATCTAATTTTCGTCCGTTTTTCGTCCATACACAATCCGATTCAGTTAGCAATAGCCATGAAAAAAATTGTAAAAAAAAAAAATCGGCGGCTGCCGACGCCACCACCGCCACCGGAGGGAGAAGAGAGGCGGCGGAGGGAGCTACCAAGCTATATATCCCACCAAAGCAAGGCTGCTCGTTCAGGAGCTTGATGATGGATATCCAATTTAACTCTCCTAGATGGATAAGGATTTTCTAGCCAAAGTAGACTAGTTTGATAAGCAAAGCTAATTTTAAAAGTAATTTACCAAATACCTAACCTAGCTTAACAAGGAAAGAATGTTGCTAGTCTAGGATCCAAACACACCCATATCTCTTTGATTAACTTTAAGCTTAGCAACGATGATTTGTGTCTAAGAGTAGGCAGAAAAAGACCGAACTAAAAGACCGAGACCGAGACCGAGAAATTCGTTCCTAGGCAGTGAAAGACCGAATTTTGTTCGGTCAATTCGGTTAGTTTCCTCGGTTAACCGAATAGACCGAAAAGACTGAATTAACAAAAAAAAAGTCTAAATATAACCTACAATTTACTAAATTCAATAGAATTAAACTATAGTTTTCACATCCCTACTTTTTCTAGGCATGCAACCTAATAAGAGACGTGCTTACGGAATTTTTTTTTGTGATTTTTGTGTTGAAAATTTCTATTATTTCTTTGCATATATAAAAATGTTGTTGAATTTCGGTCAGGACCGAGACCAAGTCCGAATTTGTCAGTCCTGATATTTTTGCGTTGAAATTCGGTCTTCACTTTTCAAAAACCGAAATGACCGAAAACCGAGACCGAAATTTTCGGTCAGACCGAATGCCCACCCCTACTTCTGACTGCTCTCTTTAGTTATAGGTCATTAGGTTATGTTGTACTACTCCGTCCCAGAGAAAAACGAATTTCTAGCTACGAAACAGACATATATGTGTCCAAGTTCGTATGTAGGATTGGTCTTTTTTTTTTTTTAGGATGGAGGGGGTATTGTCTAATGCAATTTTTGTTGTGTTCTCTATGGAGGCGTTTTAGTCAATTTTGCTCCAATTAATTATGCAGTTATAAAGTTCTAGGGATTTTTAATAAACAAGTTAACTCTTTTCTTTTATAATGAAAAGAAAAATCCATCTCTTTTCAGAGGTTTTCTTTGGGGAAAAATATCTATGAGGATTTGAATTTAAACACTAAAGGGACCTGCACTCCTGGTTCGATTACTGGGTCGAACAAAAGTTTAGTTTGTTAGCTGCAACATTTGAAATCGATCATGAGACCCACTTAGAAAATGAATCTCTAATCAGATGCATCCATCGTCCCTTGCACCGTCAGTCACAACGGCTGCATACCACCTTTTTCGTCGCTGAGTTCTATTCTTTCTTTGTGATCGATTTTTATCTGACGAGTAACAATCGGTTGTTACAGTGTGGTTTTCTCCATTTTTTTTTCATGTATACTCCCTCCGTCTAAAAAAAGACAAACTCTGAGTTTCCGTGTCCAACTTTGATTGTCCGTCTTATATGAAATTTTTTTATAATTTATATTTTCATTATTGTTAGATGATAAAACATGATTAATATTTTATGTGTGACTTGTCTTTTTAATTTTTTTTCATAATTTTTTTAAATAAGACGGATGGTTAGACGTTGGACACGAAAACCAATATTTGTCTTTTTTTTTGGGATGAAGGGAGTAATTAGTTCTATTTTACTCCTACACACAGGAGATGCTCTAATGGGTGAAGTCATGGTCCCTTCCGTTTTAAGAACACAATAGCTGGCTTGTTAGCATGTGGCACCGGCACGTGCACTACTCGCCCCCAGGCCCCAGGGCGGAAGATCCGGGTCTCACTGCACGAATCTGGCACCACCACCACCGGCACCGCCACGCACCGCACAAGATTCACCCAGCCGTTTGCACTGCTTTGCTCGCCATCGATCTCGCGCGGCCGCGACGACTGTCTCGCACTGTCGGCTCTCTCGTCTCTCCCCCTTCCTCCTCTTCCTCTCGGTCCCGCGCGCGTCAACTTCTCCGCTTTGCCGCATTCCTCCGCGCCCCTCAGATCTCCGCTGACTCCGCCGCCGCCCGCCGACATGTCGTCCCGCGGCGGCGAGGACGACGACCACGCCTCGCTCCTCAGATCCCACCCCGCGGCCGGCGCCGGCGCCGGGTCCGGCTCATCGTCGCCGTGCCCATCTCCGCGGGCTGTCGGTGGCCACCACCACAACCAGCACGCGGACGTCGAGGCGGTGGGGGAGGCCACCGTCACCGCCTCCCCGAGGCGGAGCGGCGGCGTGCGTGGCCTCCTGCGGCACCTCGACCGCCGCCTCTCCGCGCGCGGATCCGGGGGGCGTCGAAGCCAGCAGCCGCCGCAGCAGCTCGATCGCCCCGAGCCGTCCCCGACGTCGTCGCCGCAGCAGAGGGAGAGGGTCGGGGAGGAGCTCGGGGATGGGGCGCCGCCGGAGTGGGCGCTGCTGCTCATCGGCTGCCTCCTCGGGCTCGCCACCGGCATTTGCGTCGCCGCGTTTAACCGTGGGGTGAGCATTTCACTGGTTCTGCTCACAGACTGGAAACTTGACTATCCTCTGCAAGTAGAAAGCACCGGAGTGAGGCTCATCATTTATAGGATCTAAACGTAGTTCATGGATGCTAGCAAATGTGAACCCAAGGGACTTTGCAAATGTGATTTTGATCCGTTTATTTGTGCAAACTAAACTAGTGCAAATAAATTCACCCAAATGATGCAAAATCAGTTTCATTTAAGTGCGCAAATTCAAAGCAACTTAACAGAGCACTGAAAGCAGTAAATGAAAAGCCTTATGTCACATCATATCTGCGGTTGCCCAAAACGCGATAAATTTTGTTAAAATTTAAAACCTTCCAAGTGATTCCAATGTAAGTTAAGGTTGAGATTTTTCAGTTCTGCCTTGCATGACTGATTCTATAGACAGCTCCTGTTATGGTATTTTTAGGTTCATGTCATCCATGAATGGGCTTGGGCAGGTACCCCAAATGAAGGTGCAGCTTGGCTCCGCCTTCAGAGGCTAGCTGATACTTGGCACAGAATACTGCTGATCCCTGTGACAGGAGGCGTTGTTGTAGGAATGATGCATGGGTTGCTTGAGATATTTGATCAGCTCAAACTCGTGAAACCGCCTCAGAAACAAGGAATCAATTTCCTTGCGGCAATCTTTCCAACTGTAAATGCTGTCCAGGCTGCTGTAACTCTAGGTACTGGTTGCTCACTGGGGCCTGAAGGTCCTAGTGTGGATATTGGCAAATCATGTGCAAATGGGTGCTCGGAAATGATGGAGAATAACAGGGAGAGGCGGATTGCTCTTGTAGCTGCTGGTGCTGCTGCTGGAATTGCTTCAGGTATGTCATTGATGATTACGTACCTGTTTCCTTAGTAGAATATCATGACTTCGATAGCTAGCACCTTACAATTATTATTTAAGGATGTATTACGTAATGGCAATTCCATGTAAATTGGATAGCATTTATAGTTAACATGTATTGTTTCGGATATCTTTGTAAAATAACTTGAAATATTGTATTTCACGACTCCCATGTAACTCTAAAATTTAACATTTTGATTTTGTTCCTACCCTTTTGGCCTTTTTGTTGTTAGCGCTTGCTAATATACTGTTTCTTGTGTTGTGTGTTTTCAGGCTTCAATGCAGCAGTTGCTGGGTGTTTCTTTGCCATTGAAACTGTACTGAGGCCACTGAAAGCAGAAAATTCACCTCCTTTTACAACTGCAATGATAATATTGGCTTCTGTTATATCATCTACTGTGTCAAATGTTCTGCTTGGAGAAAGGCCAGCTTTTATAGTGCCAGCGTATGAGCTAAAATCTGCTGCCGGTATCTCCCCTGATTCTTTTTACCTTTATCTTTAAGATTGAAGATTCATCTATTAACTACAGTAACAAACACTACCAATTTTTATCATGTTATGATACACCACTTGCACCACTACCAATTCTTGGTTCATCAAGCCCTAATATGCTATCTCCATTTTGTTGAGGCCTATAGTAATATGTTTCAGAGATGATGTTATCATAAAGTTTAGCAGCACTTGCCCTACTTTTATAAGTTATTCACACAAACCCAACTTTTCTATTATCTTGACATGGCTTCTTGGTTGAATAATTCTCTCCTTTTGTATTGTTGTATATGAACAGCATAGGTTCTAAAGGATATTCTGTCGTCTCATTTTCTGTTCTGCAGAGCTACCTTTATATCTCATCTTAGGAATGCTTTGTGGAGCGGTCAGTGTGGTATTTGGCCGGTTGGTTGTATGGTTTTCGAATTTTTTTGGATACTTAAAAGAAAGATACGATTTTCCTATTGTAGTATACCCTGCTTTGGGTGGACTGGGAGCTGGCCTCATAGCTCTCAAATATCCTGGCATTCTATACTGGGGTTTCACAAATGTTGAAGAAATACTACATACTGGGAAAAGTGCTTCTGCTCCTGGTATATGGTTGTTAACTCAGCTTGCAGCTGCAAAGGTAGTTGCAACTGCCCTTTGCAAGGGATCTGGCCTTGTGGGTGGGCTATATGCACCAAGCCTAATGATTGGGGCTGCTGTTGGAGCTGTTTTTGGAGGGTCAGCTGGATATTTGATAAATTCTGCTGTACCTGGTAATGCTGCTGTTGCACAGCCACAAGCTTATGCTCTAGTAAGTTGCTCTGTTTTCCTTTTTTTTTTTCATATTGCTTGAAGCAATACTGTTATTTCTACATCCTTGTATATACAAAAACTAATTGTCAGAACTCCAGGTTGGAATGGCTGCTACACTAGCTTCAGTCTGTTCAGTCCCACTGACCTCAGTGCTGCTTCTCTTTGAACTGACAAAGGACTACAGGATTTTGCTTCCTCTCATGGTAAGTATGACTGTTTATGTAGTGTGCCCATTGTTTTGTTTTGATATAGTCTTTCTCTTTTGTCACATCATGATGTCTAGAAGAGGACATAAATGTTGTGATTTTATGTTTCACTATTGCATTATCAAAACTAATGCACTTATTTTTTATTGTCCAACAGGGAGCAGTTGGGTTAGCAATCTGGGTTCCTTCTGTAGTAAACCAATCAAAGGATGGTGAACCATCTAGGTTTAGAACACCCAGGCGTGGTTATTCTTCACTTTCTTCAGAAGATAGAAATAGTAAAAGCTGGAGGCGAGGTGACAGTGTAAATGATCTTGAGCTCACTAGCTTACGGACTGATAACTATGACACCTATAATGAGGAAATGCTTCTAGATGATTTGAAGGTTTGTAGGCCTCTAATTCTTATTGTTAACGGTCTAGCTGATGCAATGGTGCGTTCAATTTTCAATAGAAGTACATGTTATTATGTTAATTCTATCCTAATTTGTCATTTGAACTCTTTTACCAGGTCTCCCAGGCCATGTCAAAGAGCTATGTTAAAATTCCAACATCTGCCATGGTGACAGAAGCTCTCAAGCTTTTGCATGATAAGCAGCAAAATTGCGGCCTTGTTGTGGATTGTGAAGATTTTCTCGAAGGAATTGTTACATTAGGGGATATTCGCCGTATGGGATTTGAATTACATGGGGACAGTTTCACAAGTGGAGACCAGCTCAAGCCCGCTGTACGTTTGAATGGTGAAAATATGTATTTCCATTAGAATAGTTCTACGTAAATAAGTAATGAATTGGTGTGCATCATTTCACTTGGTCTGGTCTAGGCTGGACACTGATTTTGTTTAAACCATTGCCATTTAATGCGATAGCTTAAAATGAATTCTAAATTGAATGTACATGCTTTCTATCTCTGAAAGGTAAAAACAAAACAATTTACACAGGCTGGCAAGGAATGTGTACTAATTAATGGAGATGTTGCAGGAAAATTCTTCAACCATATCATTGTGTCTTACTCGAGGATTCCAGTACGAGGGGAATGAACGTGGATTGCTAACCTGCTTTCCTGATACTGATTTGACCACTGCAAAAAACCTTATGGAGGCCAGAGGAATAAAGCAGCTGCCTGTCGTGAAGCGTGGTGTCGGCCATAGAACTGAAGGAAAACGCAAGCTTATTGCTCTTCTACATTATGATTCTATTGGTCACTGCTTACGGTTAGTCATAAGCTTATATGTGTTCTTTCAAACTTTATATTTTTTTGGGTTTATTCAGCTTTAACTCAAGATAATTGAATTTTTTTTCCGCTTGTTTAATTCATTTGAATTATACTGAAATGTCAATTCATTTGGTTATGAAGGGAGGAAATTGAGAACTGGAAGGCCATATATCAAATAAAAGAGGACTTCCATCTCATAGCAAATGGGCATTGAACAGCATTACATTGACCAATATTACACCACATCAATCGCATGCAATTTGATATCCTTAAGGCATTTTTGCCAAATGGGGATACAGGAGGTATACACGAAGTTCAACTTGTACAGATTTGAGGCTCCTCTACAAAGAATTAAATTGCCATCTGAGGAAATTATTCAGGCTAGCTAGCCAATTTTGCAATAGAGGTTATGGTCCATTCTTGTTGCGAAGCAACTTCTACTTCACACGGGAGGAGATGGGTATGTATGAATTCAGTTATTCAGAATTGGAAAGTGGCATTGTAATGTATATCTTGTACCTGTACTATTTGTAACTGTGTAACATCCTGTTGCTGGGAAGCATCATATGCGCCAGCTTGTAGAGGTGCAGTCACACGAGAAACTAGTGTAATAAAGTGTGCAGCAGAAAATTTTGTCAAGAAGCCGATGTTGTAGGTTGTAGCGTCACATTGTATGTAACACTTTATATCAGCACTTGAACTGAATTTCTCCCTTTCCGTGCAGTTACATAAAGCTTGCAGAGCAAAGTTGCTTTATCACCATCGCTGTCCTGAGTCGGAGTCATGTTTACAGCGACCGCCGTCGTGGCATGTTTTTTTTACGGAGGCTGCTTTCTCTTCCTGTAAACTTTTCAATAGAATTTTTTTTTAAAAAAAATCACACTGGTTAGCAATTTAAAAAATATGCGCTCGGAAAATAAGGGTATAAGTTAATAAGGATAGAAGTTGGGAAAAGGAAAGAACACATCATCCTTATATGTTACTCCTGCCGTCTTAAATACAGCTTAGCACTAAATTATACACAACTTAATTATACAATATAGGTAGAAGTCCATTTCCACTTAAATCCGTAATAGTTTGCTACTACCTTCGTTTTCAAAGTACTCCGTATAAGTTATTTTGATATGATGTTATACATTTCAATACTATGAACAGATTTTCTGTTCAAATTTATAATCCTAAAATATATTATATCCGATCAAAATTAAGATAGTATATGTATATTTTAAGATGAAGACAGTAGCGATGAACAACATGCTCATGACTCAGGAGTCAGGAGTCAGGACAGGAGTCGCAGCTTCTTCCGGGGTGCCCCGAAACGGAGTAACCTGGGCACTCTTTTCCTCATCTTCTCTACAGCAACCGCACCGTGCCACGTAAATCTATCGGTGACCGTCTCGACCTCCATGGACCGCACTGGTCGGTCGGGAATGGCACGGCCCCAAGCTAGCCTCAGGCCTCAGCCGTGCTCCGGCAAGGCGGCACCCGGCACCGGTCTAGCATACTAGTCTGTCCCAAAAAAAGCTAAACCCTGGCTATGAACGTGGACACGCATGTGTCCAGATTCGTAGGTAGAATTGGACTTTTTTTTTAGGATGGAGGGTACGTCTTTTGACGATGCGCTGAAACACTGCAGTTCTCTGAGCCAAGCCACACGTAGCCTATTGCGCATGCATGCTATGCAGACGACCTTACAAAATTTCTACTCCTCTCCGCCCAAAAAAAAAATAAAAAGTTTTATCCCTTCAATACTTTTTACCTGCCTATCACTATCACTATTTTTTTAAATGATTAAGGTTATTATAGTCACTCTCTATTTCCTCTATTTTTATCTTGAGATGTTAGAATTGTTTTTTTTTTTTTTTATGGAGGGAGTAAGGTCCAAGGCTAGCATCTCATCTCACGCAACGTCACAGTCTTCGCAGAAACGCCGCAAGCGACAACGCGATACGCTGCTGCGTAGAAGCATCCGGCTTTGGCCTTTCACATCAGGCAACAGCATCGCTATTGTATGGTACTGTACTGTGTCACATACCGGTGGTCCATCTCACTAGCTACCGTTGTCCCCGCCCAGCCCGGGTGCAAAAGACCAAACTATCGAACCGAACACCTCAAGCCAAGGAGCCAGACGGAGCCGGGCAAGGTGAAAGCTCAGTCAGTGCACGTGTATTTTACTACTCCCAACTTTTCCACGGATTAGCAACGCGTTTTCTCGAACCGAACAGGGGACAGGGGATGCAAAAAGAGACTACCTGCGAATCTACTTATATGTCAAATAAGTAATAATCTATGGATTTCTACGTTGTGGCTCGATTTAATTACCGTAACTAAAAAATGCAAGTGGGTTGATTAATAAATCTATTTATATATCAAATTTAGTAAGTAACCCGCAAGTTAATCTACGAGTTATTAGATTATCCATTAATTTTGTATATAAATAAGTTCGCGGGTTTGTCGGTTACATCCCCCAGGCAGGAGGAATCCCGAACGAACCCGTTTCATGCCACTGTGCGTAGCAACAGAACGGCGCGGCGCGCTGATTCGTTGACGAGTGGGAGATAATTAAGCCGGGGTTTTGTATCCGCGCCTGCTCCCCTTTGGCGGCTTCTGCGACGGGGAAGGTGTCGCCGAGCGCACAACAGACGGGGCTAGTGGCACAAAACGGCAAAACTAGAAAAAAGAATTGGATTTTTCTTTTCCATTTACGTGCGTATATATTATGCCTTGTCATTGGCTCGTCGCTGTCAAATATTTACTATCTTTTTTTTTTACTGTCAAATGTATATAGATTAGTGCGCATATTAAAAATTCAAGCCGAACAAGACATGTTCATTATTGCCCAAAAATTAAAGCACTTTCGATGTTTTGCACATGCATGTACTCATCATTATTACTTCCTCTATCTTCAAATATATGGTCTTTTGTCGGATGTGACACATCTTAATAGTATATTTACGAATCTAGATAAGATGTGTCACATCCAATCAAAGTACCCTATATTTGGAATAGATGTAGTAATATATATTCAAAATGCATTCTCAACTGTGTGTCTATATATATATATATATATATATATATAAATTCATAACTAGCATTAGATAAATAGCTATAGTACATTTTAGGATGGAGGAGGACTGTATTAGAAAGAGATAACTATCGGGATCATGTCATCTAGTCTCTCTTTTTCTAAAACAACCTCGTTCTTTTTAAGCTAACGAAGGTATGAACTATCCGTGTGACGCTTAATAAAGTACAATTTCTTTAAAAACATGTTGTCTAGTAGATATATATTTTCTTTTGTCTAAACTAGTACAGTATTTATTAACTTTAGAATCTACAATGATTAATTTAATTAATTTATCGGCTAATGACCTGGAACCGGGCTGTCAGCTACAGCTGTGGTCTTCGGATGTGGTTGTTGCGTCAGCGTGGAGGTTACTTGGGGTCTTCAGAGACTTGCAATGGGCTATATAATGTACGTACGGCATTCTAGCTACTATGGCATATTGGCAGTTGATGTGATGTTTGGCCAAACATCTACAGTACAGCCTGCATGCCATTCCACGAAGTGCGACTAGAAGTAAACGGCGCCAGTATGCCATGCCACAAATTGGGCAGAGAGAAAAATGTGCCATATGGTCCGTGGTCTTCCATCAACAAAATATTGGTCGTAGCTACACTAACTGACGAACTTGAATTCACGATCGAGCCGTCCATGCGCATGCACGCAAATGTGAACGTACCTTGATTATTCTCACTGATTAGTTATCAGAAATTTAGTCCTGCAGAGAGATGATCATAAGCTGCCAGCCCTGAGACTGTCGATCGTATCATGATTCACAAGTGGCATACTGGCATTTTCTGCGGTGATCACGGATTAACGGCAGCAACACCACATCTGAAAATGACGGGATACCATATTAAAAAATATATATGCATGGTCATAGTTTTAAGATGCTGAATTTCACTTGAGCAGTACGTTCAATTCTCTCGTACGAACTTGAAAATTCTCTGTTTCAGTTAAGCCCTATGTTTACGCGGACAACTACGACCGCACGTTATACCGTCATAGAGCGGTATACCGTCATAGGCCTCGTTACTGGGTGAGCTATGGTCCACTGGACTGGAAGGCAAATCGAGGAAGGAAAGTGCTAGCTACTCCGTATATGATACCTCGGCAATATTATGATCGAGATCCCCCGAGATATTAGGATTTATTAATCCTAAGGTGTTATGAAACTTTGAAAAGAATCAATATTGTCATAACAATACTAGCATATTGTAGTTTCTTGAAACTCCATAAACATCATTATCATTGAATATCACTATCATGGAGGATGGGCAAAGGATTTTTAGAGGATTAAATTTCCTAAGGAATTTTTATTATTGAAGCCTTTTTCGCGAACACATTATTGAAGCCTTTCATTCATATGAAAAGATAGGAAATATCCATATGAATACATTCTTACGGTCCAGTCCAATCAATACCATAGGAAATTAAAGCAAGAAGTTAGAGTTATTTAAATTTTTTATTTAACTAGAAAAGATGTCTGTACGTTGCAGTGGGTGAATGCTATTTTAATCTTGTTATTGTTATACGGTTTGGCTAGGGTGAAATTCGCTATGAGAATTCGCTTGGATATTTTTTTTCTAGAAAATCTTGAGCTGCAATTAAGAGTCTGAAATTCATAAGTTAGCATGCAAGTGTTTTTAAAGAGATTTCTTATACGACTCCTTTTGTATTTTCAAAAGCAAACGAACTTAAAATCTGACTTAAACACGGATCTGTATTTTTAAAAGTGAATGAACTTAAAAACCGACTCAAACGCGGATGACGTACCAAAATACCGGTAAAAACATCTTCAATTTTTATAATAGTAAAGATTTGTTCAATTTTTCCTGTGATGTAATGAAATGGCTTGTCTTCTAGTTTCTTATGCTTTCAATTCAGATAGAATTTGTAAAAACATACCACTTCAAATTTTTGTTCTTTTTCTTGTTTCTGTATTTTTCTTATCATGCGTTCTAAAGGGGGTCTTATTATGTATCAATTAGCATCGGTTAGTATCAAGTATCAAAAAGTGTGGTTTCATCATGTAAGGGATATCCCCTCGTTTCTTGCAGTTTTATAATAATGAAAATGATTTATATTTCTGGCTTCTGTGCTAAGGCACACAAATAAAAAAGAGACGATAGGTGATGGGACAAACCCTCAAGGGCCTCAACTCCACATTATTATTAACTAGCGTTATATCAAATAGATTCCGCCAACAATTCTAATAGAAACTATTTAGATGATATGTAAAAAAGTGAGAATATATTCTCAAGGATGAGAATCCATCTTCTCAAGCAATTCAGATCTACTGTAGTAGTATTGCAGATACATTACTACTCACTGACATTTGGGCTGTATGTCCAGTGCTACAGAGGACCTCACTCCTTCTCAAGTATCATCATGTATCAAAGAGTATTTCAACGAATATCATTGCGTATCAACGAGTACCATCGAATATCAAACTATTCGTCGTGGTGTATCAACAAGTATCATCTAAGCTTTGTTTACTGAGTCAACTGCGAGTCTCCGTCAATTAGTAGGTAGTAACATGGTTTGCGTGCTATGGCATTTCGTGCGTTTGCATGCACGCATGAAAGTCTATCCTCTCTCTATATATAAGTTGATAGGAATTTAAAGCTGCAATTATCTAGCTGATCAGCTTGCCTAGGAAGCAAGGAATTAGCCATGGCTTCTGTTTCGCCGCTACTGCTTCTCCTCTTGTGCAGCTACCACTCTGTAGTTGCTCATGCAGGAGATGGACAGAGTTACAAGGTTCTTGAGCTGAATTCTGAGGCCGTCTGCTCCGAGCGAAATGGTGACTGTCCATGCAAGCGCATAGTTTTTCTGCAATTTTCGTGTGGTTTTTCAGTGAAATTGTAATCGTTTTGGTGCGTCAAATTTTGCAGCGATTTCGTCGTCGTTGAGTGGAACCACGGTGGCGTTGAACCACCGGCACGGGCCATGCTCGCCGGTGCCGTCGTCCAAGAAGAGGCCGACCGAAGAGGAGCTGCTCAAACGCGACCAGCTCCGAGCCGAGCACATCCAGCGGAAGTTCGCCATGAACGCCGCCGTCGATGGCGCCGGCGATCTCCAGCAGTCGAAGGTGTCGTCGTCCGTGCCGACCAAGCTGGGCTCCTCCCTGGACACGCTGGAGTACGTCATCTCCGTCGGGCTCGGCACGCCGGCCGTGACGCAGACGGTGACCATCGACACCGGCAGCGACGTGTCGTGGGTGCAGTGCAACCCGTGCCCCAACCCGCCGTGCTACGCGCAGACGGGCGCGCTGTTCGACCCCGCCAAGTCGAGCACCTACAGGGCGGTCTCCTGCGCCGCCGCCGAGTGCGCGCAGCTCGAGCAGCAAGGCAACGGCTGCGGCGCCACCAACTACGAGTGCCAGTACGGCGTCCAGTACGGCGACGGCTCGACCACCAACGGCACGTACAGCCGCGACACGCTGACGCTGTCCGGCGCCTCCGACGCCGTGAAGGGATTCCAGTTCGGGTGCAGCCACGTCGAGTCGGGATTCAGCGACCAGACCGACGGGCTCATGGGCCTCGGCGGCGGCGCGCAGTCGCTCGTGTCGCAGACGGCGGCGGCGTACGGGAATTCCTTCTCGTACTGCCTCCCGCCGACATCGGGCTCGTCCGGGTTCCTCACGCTCGGCGGCGGCGGCGGCGTGTCGGGGTTCGTGACGACGCGGATGCTCAGGAGCAGGCAAATCCCGACGTTCTACGGCGCGAGGCTGCAGGACATCGCCGTGGGCGGGAAGCAGCTCGGGCTGTCGCCGTCGGTGTTCGCCGCCGGGTCCGTGGTGGACTCCGGCACGATCATCACGCGGCTGCCGCCGACGGCGTACTCGGCGCTGTCGTCGGCGTTCAAGGCCGGCATGAAGCAGTACCGGTCGGCGCCGGCCAGGAGCATCCTCGACACGTGCTTCGACTTCGCCGGCCAGACCCAGATCTCCATACCGACCGTCGCGCTGGTGTTCTCCGGCGGCGCCGCCATCGACCTCGACCCGAACGGGATCATGTACGGCAACTGCCTCGCGTTCGCCGCCACCGGCGACGACGGGACCACCGGCATCATCGGGAACGTGCAGCAGCGGACGTTCGAGGTCCTGTACGACGTCGGCAGCAGCACGCTCGGCTTCCGGTCCGGCGCGTGTTGACCGGGGCGGGCGGCGCGACGCCGGCGCCTGGCGGGCCGGGCAACACGACACACGTAGAGGCCAAGAGGGTAGCAGTAGGTTGCTCTCATGTGGTCGTCTACTTGTTTGTGGTTGCGAGGTAAGAGTCGTGACGTGTGATGATGACAAGATATAATGATATATATTGCAATTGTAATCCAACAACCAAAATATTATATTAGTCCCTAGCTCTAAAAAAATATTATATTAGGAGTGAACTTTTCATGATTTTTTATGAATAATAAAGACTTTATACTGATTAATTCGATCGTTTGATTCCCAATCGACGGATGCATCATTAGTGATCCAAGTGTCTGGCCAATAATTAGTGTGTGAGAATGGTCTTGGTGATTCCCAATGGACTACAGTTTGCCCTACTGATTTACCAACAGAATGTTAGATTGCACGTAACTGCGTATGGTGGCACTTGTGCAATTTTTATTTTGTTTTTCTGTACTATTCTTTGTTTTGGTTTGATTCTTTCGAATGGATTTAAGAGAACTGATCCATATGCTCCTCCGTTTTTTTTGAGATGCTACCATTCATCATATTCAAAAAATTAATATAAATATTATTTTATTTTGTTATGGCATGTTTTATTATTAAAGGAATTTTAAGTATGACTTATACTTTACATATTTACACTAATTTTTTAAGGAGATAAATGATCAAACATTATTAAAAAAAATTAACGGCATTATCTATTAAAAGGGATGTACTATATTAATTTTGTGGTGGAGATTTCGATATCGTCCACTCTGTTCACCAGAACATATGTACCCCATCTCTCTATTTCTTACTCTTGAGGGCCAATAGTCTTGGATAATAATGGGATTTTGGTATGAAACATCAATTCTATTTTCTTTTCCTTTGGAGCACCGGAAAGCAGCTGTCAAACTGATACAGAATTGTGCCACCAAAGAATCCCTAGTAGAGTACACATGGCATTTCAAAGAGAAAATCATGTTATTCTCCTAGAAAACATCTAATGGATTCTTCTTCTGCTATCTCATAGTCTACTTGTTGCCTTATAGGTTAATGTTTTGTTCTTATTTTTTTATGTCTACAAAACGAAAATGTTAATTCAAAAGTTAATTTTGAGGTTTTAATTTTTTTAAGCATTGACTTTAAACCGTTACAACACATGCATGAAAGTATTTCTTTTTTTTTGTAAAATTTATTTTATCATGGCTTGTCAGCCGTATATCAAACAGAGTTTATAGGCTGGTCCACGTGTATCCCTACTAATTTTTTTTTGTGTATTTGCTATGACCCTAGTATTCTTGTGCTTTATCATCATGTGAGTTCATAATTTGTGATGTTTTGTTCTTAGTTTTTTATGCCTGCATATATTAAGAGTTATGCATTCCAAAGAGGAATATCTTCGGTATAAACATATTTGAAATTGTATATGCTCTAAATTGTTCAAACTATAACTCTATGGCCCTTGACTTTCACACAAATATCAGGTGAATGTTCGGCTAACAACCATCAACAATACAGATCCAGCATTATCTACGAGATTAAAAAAAAAGATAACGTTTTCTCTCTGGGCCTTGGGCCACAGCAGCCACAATGCACAACAGAACGAGGTGGCCCCACAGTCCCACACGTCCCCCTAACTGTCCACTAGTTTTAGACTTTTAGTCGTAGCACATCAGTTGAGCACCGTGCCACTGACCACGACGCACCAAATCAAACCAAGCGTGTCAAGCGCCTAACACGTGCACATGGTTAGCCCGTTTAACTAATTTATTATTATTACTCTCAAAAATCGTATATCCACTAACGAAAGTACTATGCCTTACAACCTTTGTGTATTTGTGTACTATGTACTCTCCTACTACTAGTGTTATGTTATGTATATGCGCCTATCATCCTCGTGTACGTACGTACATTGTACGCGTATATCTATACACCTATACGCCATGTACGTACTAAAGAAGAATACTGTCGTGGGTGAGTTGTTAGGATGGATCGATCAGCAGGAGGCGGGCATGAAGCCGACGGTGCTGCCGTCGAAGCGCACCTCGAACGAGCGCTGCTGCACGTTCCCGAGGATGGACGCCTGGCTGTCGCCGCCGGTGGGCGCGAACGCCAGGCACCCGCTGGTGAGGATCCCCGACGTGCCGAGGTCCATGGCCGCGCCGCCGCCGAACGCGATCGAGATCGTCGGCAGCGTCACGGTGCCGTACCGGGTGAAGTCGTAGCAGGTGTCCAGGATCCCCGTCGCCGGCGCCGACGGGTAGCCGTAGGGGGCCATGGCGGCGCGGAACGCGGACCGCAGCGCCGAGTACGCCGTGGGCGGCAGCCGCGTGACCACCGTGCCCGTGTCGACCACCGCGCCCGACGCGAACACGGACGCGTCGATGCTCAGCGGCTGCCCGCCGACGCTGATGCCGGCGAGCATCACGATGTAGTATGTCGGGTCGTTCGACGCCGTCAGCAGCGGCGTCGTGGAGAAGCCGGCGGTGCTGCTCGGCCCGCCCAGCGATATGTAACCCACGGAGTTCTGCGTCGGCGGTAGGCAGTAGGAGAAGACGCCGCCGTAGGTGCTCGACGCCTGCGACACCAGGGACTGGCCCTGCCGGCCGAGGCCGAGGAGCCCGTCGACGCCGGCGAAGAGGCCCTGCTGCGCGTGGCCGCAGCCGAAGAGGAACCCCTTGAGCGCGTTCGACCCGGTCAGCGTCAGCGTGTCGGAGCTGTACACGCCGGTGGTCGTGGACCCGTCGCCGTAGCTGACCACGTAGCCGCACTGCCCGCCGGAGCAGCCGTTGGAGTACAACGCCAGCTGCGAGCACGACGCCGCGGCGCACGGCACGGCGGAGTAGGACGACGACCGCGTCGGGTCGAAGAGCGGGTCCCTCTGGCTGTAGCACGGCGGCGAGGGGCACGGCTTGCACTGCACCCACGACACGTCGCTGCCGGTGTCCACCTCCAACGTCTGCGCCACCGCCGGCGTGCCGAGGCTCACCGTCACCACGTACTGCAGCGTGCCGATGGAGAACCCCAGGTTAGCCGGCACCGTCGCCGCCTTGGATCCCGCCAGCTGCATCCCCGGCGCGGCGGCGGCGGCCCCCGACACCCTCCTCTGTATGTACTCCGCCCGCCGCTGGTCCGCGCGCAGCGTGTCGAGGAACGACGGCGGCGATCCCAGCGCCGACGCCTTCCCCGCCGGGGCGCACGGCCCGTGCCGGTGCGTCAGCCGCAGCACCGCCGACGTGCCGTTCCGCGGCGAGGCAGCTGAAACTCGCAACGAATCCCAATCTTTCATCACAATCCGGCCCCAAAAACCAGAAGCAACAGTTCGATCTCCCCGCTCGCTCGCTGTCTACTACTACTAACTACGTACCTCGTCCAGGGAGTTCGTCGGCGCAGGTGGAGCTCACCGCGAAGCTGGATGTGGAGACGGTGACGTAGCCCCTCGCGGCGTCGGCATGGCGGGGCAAGAATCCGAGGCCGGAGAGGAGGATCAGCGTCAAGAGGAGAGCCATATGCTTCGCTTCGCTTCGCCGCGCGCGCGCGCGTTGGCACCGAGCGGGAAGGGGACGGTGTGGCTAAATAAGGCGTGGTAGCACCACCAGTTGGCGCGTCGGCGGCGGCGGCGGCGGTGCGGTGCGAGCCCAACCCATGACGATGACCATATGATGCGGTTGCGCTGTGCGATTGGAATTCTTCGTTCGTGTTGGGTTGGGGGGGGGGGGGGGGTCCCGTCTCCCACCGAACCGAAGCGAAGCGAAACGCGACGCGACGCGATGCGACTTTGCGAGTCTCGTTTTGGTGCGGCGCCAACGAAGGTGGGCTTTCTGCGCGCGTCAGATGCGAACGTATTATTGCGTTGATGGACGATGGATGATTGGAGAATGGCACGTCTTTTTTGTAGTCGTACGGTTTAGCGTATCGGCGCCGGCAAGCTTGAGGCTCAAGCTTAGTATAGTTCTGGTACTAGGAACTAATCCCAATCCTAAAACTTTTTTTTCCTGATGATATAATTCTCATAACCTGTCAAATTGGTGTCTGAAATTTGAAATCTGAAAATGAACTCTACTAAAGTTTGCATATGGTTCTTTCAGTGCCTTTACAGTTTCTCAATCGATTCCTTTTAGAAGTAGTACCTTTTACATGAAATGAAAAGGATGCTCAAAGTCCCAAAGTTGTGTCACACAACTGTTACGCTAACTGTTCGTCTCCCTGACGGAGACCTTTATCTACCGCTATTTTCATCGGTGGCGTAAGGGATCTATGGCCGTGAGCGCGACACGACTGATGTGCCAGCAAAATACCCAAGTTTTCTTCTCCCGTCCCTGCCACTGTTTGCACCCTGCGTCTCCCCAAAATTCTCTTCTCCTTCGCCGACATGCTGCGAGCCTGCACACTGATGCTGGTGTATCGCAAGGCTGACGACTTCGCGTTGCTTATCGCAGCGTGGCTCTCTTGAGATTACTGGTCTAACCGCCCGGATTATCCGCCGGGTCAGTCCTGTCCTGCAATTCGTGTACAGTGGATGGCCGGTCTGCATATGTATATGTAGTGGTGCATTGCCGAACATTGGACGAGTGGTTTGACATGGATTGGGTGGGTCCTGAACGATGAGCAACTGAGCATGCATACTTAGGTAGTTGGTACTCCTACTTGGTAGTGCCTTGGTCACATGCAGAGCACTTCTCTTCATTCTGGTCTACTGGGAATTTGGATAGATAATGTTGGTTCGTAGTGGAGCAGGCAATACCCGGGTTTGGTGCTTCTTGAGTCCCTGATGACTGAAAAATCACAGGAGTCGCACTGCATGACTAACCGGCAGTTTCATGGTCGACCGGTAAAACAGGCTTTCAGGCGGAAGTGCGTGTGCCAGAATTTGAGTGGTACAGTCTTTTTCACAAGTGAGGAGTAGCAACACGCTTTCACAGGAGGTTGGCAGCCATGCATCACGATCCAGTGCAGTTGCAAGCATGAGCCTGTTTGGTATAGCTTCAGCTTCAGTTCCAGCTCTCCCTTGAAATTGGAACTTAGCCAAATAGTTCTAGCTCCACGTAAAATAGGAGCGGAGTTGAATGAAGCTTTTTCACAAAATGAACTGGAGAGGTGGAGCTAGATTTAGGCAGCTCCACAACTCCACTCTATATCTAACTCCTGAAGTTAAAACTCTACCAGACAGACCCTATAATTGCAACTTAAGCAGTTGTTCGGGAGTTCTTAAAAAAAAAGCCAGTTGCTTCGGCGGCACATGATAGAGAAGTTAAAACTCTACCAGACAGACCCTATAATTGCAACTTAAGCAGTTGTTCGGGAGTTCTTAAAAAAAAAGCCAGTTGCTTCGGCGGCACATGATAGAGAAAGTAAGGGCCTGGATCATTGTGTGACTGTAGCAAAAATATATATTTTATACATTTTGTAGCAATGAATGTGAATCGTTAAATCAAAATATGAACGGTTGATTACTTACAGTCCTTTTTAGTACCAACTGTATTTGATCTCAATCCGGTAGGCATAGGTATCTGAATTTACAATTTTCAGATAACCCACTCTTGTTTTATCCGCCAAATAAGCCATCCAAAATATACAAATTGTACAGACACTAAAAAAAAAACTCACTACAGAAAGCAAAGAAGAGTGACGGTTCACAGTGATGATTGTGATGCAACCACTCTGCATCACAACTCACAACTCATAACCCTCTGAAAAATGGTACCAATCTCTCCTTTCCGATGGCCATCTCCCTGCGCCCAATCTCCATTCCGCAACGCTTCCGGCCGCCGGACGGCGCCGTCCTAGCTCCCTCCGGCGGTGCCGCCGCCGCCACTCGCTCGTACGGTGCGGACCACTTGGCCTGCACGTACCGCGCCCGCCTCCACGGCGGCAGGTGCATGCCCGCGCCGCGGATGGACTCCGCCGCCGCGGCGCACATTGCCGCGGCGACCCCCCTGAAGGCCTCGGGAGTCGCGACGAGCACCGGCGGGAGCGAGAGGAGGAGGTCCTGGTACTCGGCGCTCGGCCTCGCGATCTCGAACTCGCCGGCGACGTTGACCTCGACGATGTAGCGAGCGCGACGCCCCGTCGCCGACGCCGCCGCCGTCACGTCCACGTACTCGTGGCTGCCCGCCGGCACGCTGCCGGTTCTTTCCCACGACGACCTGCACACGCCGGCGTCGAACCCTCGGGCGCGGAGCCGCTCGACGACTCGCTTCCGGATCACGTCGCCGCCGTTGCGAACGGCATCCCGGACGGCGCGCTCGGCCTCGGCGCGGATGCGGGCGGCCGCCGCGTCGGACGTCGCGTCCGCTAGCGCCTCGCGCAGCGCGTCCTTCCACTCGGTAGGCTCCGGCTCCGGCGACGACGACACGCCGCCCCTCGCCGTGGCGTCCGCGCCGCGCTCGCCGTCGTCGTAGAACTCGTGCACCAGATCCACCAGGAGGTCGTCGTCGTCGTCGTCTTGATCACGCCGGAGGGACGCGGCACCGCTGGCGAACGGGCCACGCAGCCGTGCCCTGGCCGCCTCGTCCAGCACCGCCGTCGCCTTCTTGTACGCCATCGGCGACGGCCGCGTCGCTCCCATCCAACACGCCAATCGGGCGGCGCGCGATCGCCGGGTTGCCTCGATCGAAACGAGCACTGCACGCGGCGGCGCGAACAAGATTTGTTGCCGTGTGCCGGCAAAGCCGTTTCCTTTTCCGTTGCAGGTTCGGGTGGATTGGCGTCTTGTACGATACGAGGCGGTTTTATATATGTTTCGGTGTGTGGACGCCGGGGCGTTTGCGCGGCTAGGTTCGTTGGTTTTTACAACGTCCAGGTGCAATGAACCTTGTACGTCCAGGTGCAATGAACCTTTGTACGTTCTGTATGTCCAGATGCATCTCGCTATAAGGTTTCAGAATCAGAATTGGTTGAGGCGTACGGAAGCATGTGAGAAACTAAGGCCCCGTTGGTTTTTCAGTTGGACGGATATTTTCATAGAACGCGAAACGAGAATACATATACTAGCATATGATTAACTCCCTCTAGGTTTTTTATATGACATTGGCTAGTTTAACATACATATATATATGGAGGTAACTAACTATCAAAATTAATAAATAATTTTACTTGGTTTTTTAAACAACTTCTACATAAAAACTTTTTATATGAAAAGCATGTGCTAACGAAAAACGATAAAGTTAAAGTTTAGAGTTGAGAAAAAGAACTAGCCTAAGAATAAACTATTGGTCATATCTTTTCGCTTATGCTTAGCAACCAAAATTTAAATTTGTAATCTTAAATTTAAAACTGATTTTGAGGTTTTTTTTTCATCAAAGTTTATATTAAACATTTGCTTTTATATCGTTAAGAACGAGTACATATAAATTATATTCACAAATTACTTTATGTTTGCAAATATAAGAGTTTCATTAATAAGCCAAACGATGGGCCGATGCTGGTGTTAACACTATGGTTTGTTTGAAGGTGCCCTGATGTTAACGCTATTGGCCGATGCTGCGTCCAGATACACTATGCATGACATGCGTACGTAATAGAAGTTTCAAGGTTATTCATGGGACTGAAAAAGCGTGCCATCATGATTAACTTAGTCTATTGCATATAAACCCACAGGTCCATTTGCCATGATTGGCAGTCAGTGCATATAACCCTGATCAATTGCCATCATTTGCCAGAACCATTCATCAATTCTAGAGACCATCTAAATAACATCCCATTTTGCATATCAGATATGCCTGGCAGTAATATCCATTCACTAATCACTACAGAGGAGATTGAACATGTCAGGTCCTCTTATGAGTTATGACTTGTTATGAGCTGTCCATCGGGTTATCACCTGAAGTTGGTGCGGGCGCGCCATTGTCGTCCATAGGAGTGTTGGCCTCCATTGCTCCAAAAGTAAAATTACTAGGAATATTACTTGGGTTGACTCGCTCGAAGATGGACGGCACGGGCTGCTGGTTGAATACGGGCGCTTGGATGTCACCTGCCGGTTTTGGGAAACCAAATCCAAGAGGACGAAATGATTCAGTTGGAACCGACGATTGAGCAGGTGCGCCAACATTGGGTCCGAAAAGCTTCTGTTCATACTCAACGAGCTGATTCTGTGAAGCTGTATATATAACAAATAGGTTACTGTTAGCTCATGATCAAACATTTGGATTAACCATCAATTCATAATGTTACTTGAAAAACAAAAGGCGAAATCTATAAGAACAAAAAAGCTTGAGTAGTAGCTATGCATAAGTACTAGGGCGCTACTATGCTAGGTAAATGAGCCACAGAAGCTTTCAAAGCTTATCTATGTAAATTTAAGAGCCTGTATAAGGTCCCCGTCAAGCACTGATGCTACATCCTATTTTGCAAAGAACATCTCGCCAAGCACCTATATTAATTTGAATAGGGGTTGGCAAAGATTTTTCAGGCATGAAAGAAGAAATAAATTATTTGGTATGGGATCATACCATCTGTCAGTTGCACCTGTGGTCGCCGGTCTTTCACCCATTGGTAAGACTGTGAAAGTCTCCATCCCCTAGATTTCATCAAGTAGCCTATTACAATAGCTGCAGACCTGGAAATTTTGTACCAGAGAAGTATTAATCGATCATTCACAACAATGCTAACAACATGAATGCTCACAACACTGCTATCACACCTGTTTTTTCCAGACATGCAATGGACAAGAACACGTGATGTCTCCCTTTCACACTGTTCTGCAATGGCAGATAACGAAACAAATGATAAAAACAAAAACATCCACCATTTGTTTCTAGTTTAGCACTGCCCAAGCAAACTACAGCATAATTCCTACTACAGGAATGCATTTCCATTGGTTCAAATGTCAAAACAAGCACAGAGACTATCTACTGGAGTACGAATTCAAGAAAAACTTGAAATTTCACAGGGAAAAAATAGAGATTTCATTCCATTCCAAACAAAAATGCTCAAAGAATAGAATGGATTTTACCTAAAAACCTGTTTGCACCATCAAAATCCAAGCTCCTCTCATCCTGAATGCAGTGATAAGTGAAAGAATTCCGGTAGAGATTCTGACAATCTGGCACAGTCTGCGATATATGAGAAAAATGCTTACATGATTAACTAACTAATAGAGGACCAGTATAATACTAAGATATCAGTTTATCACAATAATGTATTAAAAATGAAGAGGGCTATGGTACCAACATTTCTAAGCTACAAAATGTCCCCAACTTTTCTTTACTCCGCATTTTGTCAAATCTCTTTGTTTCTCTTGTAGGATAAATCATGTTTAGTGAAAAGACATATGTAAAGTTCATAAAATACAAACATGGCACCACAGCGGCACGGTCATCCCTGATAAAAAGAAATATGCAGCAGAACTACAACTTTTAGGCCTATAGGGTGTAAGGAGAAATTACTCAACCAACAAGAAAGAATACATTATGAGCATACGATGCATATCATCCAAAAGTAGGAAGATAATTAGAATATGAGCGAATTAATTACAAAGGAGTAGAATCTACTTCAATCTAACATGACCCAATTATCAATCTACCCAGTTGTGATTGTGTGTTTATCTTTACACTTTCTTTCGATCAAGTCCCCTACCCCAATTTGTCTCAGATATCTAGTTTGAAGAAACTCTTTACACTAATTGTTTTCCTTGTTTCTAAAAGGCTAATCATTCATTAAAAAAGGCCAACCACTCAGGGGGAAAAATATGCTTGATACATTTGGTACTGAAAAGGCAGGTCATAAGTAAGGCTCCGTCTGATTCAATTGTTTGGAGGGATATTTTCAGCGTACGCAAAACAAGAAAACTCATTAGCACATGCTTAATTAAGTATTAACTATTATAAAATTGAAAAATATTTTTTTAACAACTTCTATATAGAAACTTTTTGCCAAACGCACCATTTAATAGTCTAAAAAGCGTGCTAACGGATAACAAGGAAGTTGAAGTTTGGAGTTGAGAAAAAGAACTGGCTATGAGGGCATGATATACCATCAAACAAATGTACAGGAATCTGTGACAATGCAATCAACACATCCCATCCTTCTTCCTTGTTGCAACTTTTCTACCAGCGATAGGAGCGACCACATTGTATTGACCAATGGATGATAACCCTTTCCCTGTCAACATCAAACCTTACCAACACTCTACAACTTCTTCGAGACAACAAGATAAACTTACAACCAATAGTCCCCAAACCCTAGAGATACTTCACAAAAAAAAAATATTCTCACCCGCAGAAGGGGAGATCATGACATCGCGCCTCAACTCCATCACGCAGAAAAACAAGTCAAAATAGGAGCGATTGGGATCATGAGAAAGGGGGGCAACACATTACGCACGTTGAGGATGTGGGTGATGCTGAGCGTCTTGAGGACCTCGGAGCGGGAGGCGTTGTTGTAGCTGCCGAGGAAGAGGAAGTCCTTGAGGACCTCGGTGGGGAAGGCCGGGTCCAGCGTCGCCGGGGGCTCCCCGGCCATCGGCCCCGACCGGTGGCCGCAGACCCCGCACCGCTCCCCTTCCTCGCTGTTGTGGTAGTGCCCGCAGATCTCGCAGGGGTTCTCCCTCTCCCGCTTCCTCATCTCGCCTCCTCCGCCGGCCTCGCCGCAGCCGCCGCCGCGCTCGATCGGCCGGTGGTGGTGGTGCGGTAGTCCAGTGGCGGCGCGCGCGCTTGGAGCAAAAGAAAGGGTTCGGAGTTGGGTTTTTCTTTTTTTTTTTCTTTTTCTTTCTAACGCAAAGCTTTTCGGCTTTCTGGGAATTTTTTTTTAAAAAAAACTTCGGCATTTGGTTGGGTAAAAGGAAGACTGAGCCGTCGATGTGGATTTGGACGGCTGGGATCGTCTCGGCAGTTATGGCGGTGTCGTACTCGTACAAGGTTGGTGAGATTGCGTATGGGCTGATGACTCTTAAGCTAATCATTTTGATGAAGTATAGTGCTAGTACTCCGTACTGGTTATTTTTCATTGCTATGGGATAATACACAAGTTTTAGATAAAACAATATACACTGTGTTATTTTAGTTTTAGGTGTTGGGCGATTAAGAATTTTTTTCAAGAAATATCAATTTAAGATTTCTGCATTGGGAAAGGGTTGAATTAGTGCCCGCCTGCCAGGTTAAATAAGGGTCCTGTTTGGAAGATTAGCCCAGGGCTAATTTTGAGAGCTAATATTTAGTCATGAATTGGTAGACTAAACATTAGTCTAGGGTGGCATGTGCATGTTTGGATCCATGGGCTAATTCAAGGCTAAAAGGTGGAGAGAGTAGAAAGAGAGGAGAGGAGAGAGAGAGAGAGAACAGGGCCAAGGTCATACCAAACCGGACCCAATGTTGCACTGAACAGACATGTTGTAAAACCAATAAAACTTACGAGAGGCTAATTTTACTTCTGACGGCAAGATTAGAGCTAAACAGCTAATATAAACCGCCCATATGTTTGAACACCACTCAGGCACTAACCACCAGTCAACAGAAAGAAACGACAGGTCTAAAACCTAACAACAAGATACTACAACGAACACAATAAAGGGTGTCAAAAAAGACAGAAATCACCATTCATCTGTACCACATCGAGATCATGTCGAGCCAGGAACCGGATCAGCGTCGAAGTTTTCGGTGGATGAGTCTGCAGCTTCCTTGTCTGCAGGAGCTGCTTCGTTCAGTGAAGTTGCCGTGTTCTTCGACGCGCCTTTCTTGTCATCCTTACCAGCAGACCGGCCAGTACTCTTGCTCTCGTTCAGCTGATTGCCGGTTGATAGCCTTCTACTCGGTGTCCCGTTTGATGCGCCACCGTTTGGCTTTGTGCCAGCCACCTTCTTTGCACTGGTCACTCTGTAGGGATTGACCCGTGTTCCGAATGGCCCCTCACGGTCGATGTTTAGTAGCTGTTCCGTCTGGCGTTTTTGTTCCTGGAATGTGAAAGAAATAGAACAGATGATTTTGATGCCAATTGCAACATCTGACTCATCATTTGATTGATCGAAGCGTGGATAAGTAGCACCACCATAGAATCCTTGTTGACAAGGGCATTTGGATGCAATATCCAGTCGATACTAAGGAGCTTCTGATAGTATAAGAAAGGAAGTGTCACTAACCCGCATTCTTTTCTTCTCTTCTTCCCTCTCTTGCCTAAGAATGACATACTCATCCAGCATTGCTAGCAGAGAAACACCGTCATACATAAATGGCAGCCCGTGATTTTCTTCCCAAGCTCTCGTCTTAGCCACCAGAGTTTCAACAAGGGCTAAAAAAAATTGCTGTCATTAGCAACGAACAGGAAAAACAATATTTACAGGAGAAAAGATATAGCCTATCCTGCATTATGCCCAAATGCAGAGCTTCTTGAGTTGGATTGTGTAAAGCTTAGAATTATCATTTACTGCCAAAACTATTTACTTATGCATCACAGTAGGCACCTGGAATCTTGCTGACTAGAATACGGGCCTTTTCTGCACGTTTGAGATTCAGGTGAGCACCTCGGCCTGAGTTATACCTGTTGTCATCCTGCAAAAGGAATTTCATGCTCAGTACTTCATAGCTTCAGAATATAGGTGGGATAACACGTTTCACTAGTAGTCAGAACAACCATACTCTGCTATAGTCTTCAAGCCAGCTTTCCTCCTCGCATGAGGATATCCATCTCTCAACTTTATCTAATATTTCTTTTCTGCTCAGAGCTTCCTCCTTTGCTTTCAGTATCTGACTATCCATGTCAGCAATCAGTTCTGAAGGTTCCATGTTCCCTGACTCAATCAGTGCCTGTATTTTCTCATGGGCAACTGCTGTGTCTAATACAACATGAGTGCTAGCATAAATATCTTCCAGTATGGCTTGCTTCTTAAAAGCTATTTCTTTCATCTTGCTGTATTTTAGCTGATCCAACCTTTCAACCTCAGTCTGTGCCTGAAATATTGGGTAATGAAGATCAAAATCAAACGAGAAGTAAAAAATATATATGAAGGGATGCTGAAGGTGGTCCAATAAAAGACCAATTAGTATATTGTGTGACTCACTTGATCAATCACATCAACAGCAAGTGCACCAGGAACCATGACCTCCTCAACAGTTGCTGTTCTATTGCACGAAACATGATCAAACAAGCTCCTTTCTTCCACCGGGGTGTCCATAAGATCCCATAGATCATAGAGTTGAGTGGCAAGCTCTTGAAGCTGAATAAACAGTATAAATCATACATGAGATCCAGGATAAGAATGGCTCTTGGTTGCTAAGTATAAAACTGAAAGAAAGAAAATATGAGTTACCTTCTCAAGTCTCAACCTTTTGTCCTCATTAAGAGTACCAATGGTCCTATCAAGTTTTGACAGGGTTTCATTGCTTATGTTCTTGTGTTCGTTACCAATAGAGTCATCTAGACTGCTATGGACTTGAGTTATTGTTCTAAAAAAATCCATCCCAAGCACATTGCATAGATCATGTACCATACCAACATGCTCAAGAACCTTTTCCAGCCTACGACTCTGTGATATTCATGGAAACATATATTATAGTCTCTATGAAACCAAAAACACAGAGATCACCAAGCAATATAAATTACTTATGAAAACCAAATGAAACAGACAAAGTTTGTACCTTCTCTTTCTCAAGCTCTTGAAGCTGTAACTGGAACTCTCGAAGCTTCCGAACTGTCAAATCATCCTCATTAATCTGTGGTAGTGCCACTTGCTGTCCCATCTCCAGAGTACCAGCAATCTCACCACGTATTTGCTCAATTCTTGACTGTATATTAGCTAATTCCTTTATTCTCTCCTTTTTCTTCTTGCCCAATTGTTCAAGTGTTGGAGCTATAGCAGTTAGTTGTTCCTTGATAGTCCGTGCTGTTTTCTCAGGCTGTACAGATAAAAAATTGTCACTTTTGCATCCACTAATATTTAAGCATAATAATTTAGCAAACATGTGAAGTGCCATCTGACTTCTGAACTACAATGCCAGATCCTATTAACCATAATCATCAGTTTCAAGAGGACTTGCACACCGTTACTAAAAAACCAACTGCATTTTTACTGAACTTCTATGCAAGTACTAATAGTGCCAGCAATCAACACCAAACATACTCTAGCATGGCAGAACTGGTAAGTCAAGATGCAAGAAACACAATGACACAGAACAACACGAAAGTGGATCAGTAGTCAGTATTTCAACAACTCATATTTGAATACTGAAAATTTTAGTGAATCGTGCCTGCCTCATTCTTTCCAGTATTAATTCAGACTGAAATTAGCCTATGCGTACTGGAAGAAGACGCGCATATTTACTTACACTTATATCTATGGATTTTTCACCAAGGGCAGAAGCAAGCCTAGCAAGCTCTGTCTTTGAGTAATCCAGTGCCTGGAGAAGAAGATCCCTTGATTTGGTTGCCTGATCAACTTTCCGCTTGTAGACATCCAAACACTCCTGGTCCAGCTGAAATAGAACCTTGTCGCGGTCCTCCTCGCTTTCACCAACTTCATCCCATACCGACTGATAATTCAAAAATAGAAAAGAAGAACCTCTACTTGAACACAAATACACAAGCAAAAAAAAAAATCTCTAATGAGTTATGACATGAACAAGTATGGAGCAGTTCACACGCATACCTGCAGTTTTTGCAGCAATGATCCACACGAAGTTTCACGGAGCAAAGCAGACATTCTGGAATAGGTGAATCCTTTTGTCGGAGCTGTATGGCTCTATAAACTCTTGCTCAAGACAAAAGCAACGGTGAAATGCACTTCAAAACTTGCAAAGGCCAATGCTTAGTCGATCCCGATCTGCCAGGCTGAGCATTTGAATTGGTCAGATATGATTATAAGAGACACATATAACTACTAGCATTTTAAATCGTTCTAGCATCACATCTCCCCCACCAATTGACAGAAATACTATTAAATGCCAATCGCAGAAACAGCTGATGGCCCAAGGGAAAAAACATTAATTACTGCCGCACACAACAACAACAACAAAACAGCTCAATACCTGGGAGTTTCAACAGGCCAACAACATTTATCTCAAACCTAAACAAATCCATCCGTGAAACGCAACCAAAATCGATAATTCATATGGAGATAGCTCTGCATCGAGATCATCTCCACCGAGCACGCAACTGGACCAAATCTAGAACTACAAACAACGCCATTGGTCGACAACTGGATGAAGTTCTTCGGAAATTCCTAAGAACAAAACCACCGGAACCATCGAGACTAACCAAATCAGGGGTCGAGAGACAGACAAGCGCATTCCGCCGCCGCGACGCGCCAATCCCACCACCCAAGCCAAGGCCATCTCTTAGACTCCACTAATCCACGAAACTCTCAGCTCATCCACACACATCAAGCACCAAAATAACCAGATCTCCGTTGCCACGAGCGGCGACGGCTTACCGGATCACGCGAAGACGAAGGAGTGCGACGCCGAATGTGGAGGCCCGGTGGCAGGAGAGCCGGAGGCGGCGAGAGAGCTCACCCGCCTCGCCGTCGCCGTCCGGTGGAGTGGCAGAGAGGTCACCGGCGCCAGGAGTGAGTAGCAGAGCGAGAGTAGCATTCACTGCTGCTGCTGCTGCTGCTGCTGCTGCTGCGGTGGAGTCCACGAGTCCGGAGTGGCCAGCGTGGTGACAAGCGCGACGTGGCGGCTTCGTGACCGTCCGATGGGACGACGCGATCATCCGATGGCCTTGTTGGCAGTCCGACGTTGACCAAACTTGACTCGTCCAGAAGCGGGGATGCATTCCCAATGACCTTTCTGGTTCGTTCTATAATGGCTTGTTTGAAGTTGAACAACATAGCGCGGCATGGCATCTCTCCCAAGCATTTTTTCCCCTGTATTCCTCTCTGAGACTTCAATACTCAAGAGTACTAGTACTCGTGTTCTTTTTCAGGTGTTTGTCTGCTAGTTCATGTAGCGTTGTGAGCATCGAACAAATTGGAATTCGCTGGTTAGTCAAATACTGCACATTAGCTGCATAGCAAATCAAGCGCCTTGCATCACTGGGAGAAAGGAGAAAGCAGGAGATGGCCATTACCAGAACAGAACAGCAGGTTTTAACCTAACATTCTCTCCGTCTTTTTTATGGATTTTGAACCTACCATTCTCGTGATCGAGAGGAGAGAGGACTGGTTGGTTCGAGACATTTGATCCAATCTAAAGCAGCGATGCGTGTGACGACCGTGTGTCATCATCCATCGACCATACCGCGCGTCCGCTCCTCCCTCCTGCGCCACTCGGTCGTGCCGCGCGCGTACGATTCGTTCGACGACATGGCCATCGTCTCCGTCACGACTGCCACCGCCGCAGCTGGCGTTCTCATTCTGGTTGTCGCCGCTGGAGCAGCAGCGGCCGCCGGAGCACGTCGTCACCACGTCGTCGGAGGTGACCCGGGGTGGGCGGTGGCCTCCGACGTCCTCGCCTGGTCCGCGGACAGGCTCTTCACCGTCGGAGACACCCTCTGTAAGTCCATGACGAATGCATGCGTCGATCTCTGTTCAGTATTCAGTTTCAGAGAACTTGCTGTTGTTGTCAGGGTTCGCGTACTCGGCGGAGGACGGCGGCGTCGCGGAGGTCGGCGGCGAGGAGGAGTTCGAGTCGTGCGACGCCGGGAGCCCCGTCAGGATGTACACGGAGGGGCTCAGCCGCGTCGACCTCGGCGGCGAAGGGTCGAGGTACTTCGTCAGCGCCGACCCGGACAAGTGCGGCGGCGGGCTGAAGCTGCGCGTCGACGTGCGGGCTCCGGTGGCTGGTACGACGCCACCGCCAGGGTCGTCGAGGAAGGGCGACCGAGCTGCCGCTCCGGCGCCCGCGCCGTTGGCGTCCAGCGGCGGCCGCGGAGTCGCCACGTCGCGGACGTGCGTTATGCTGTGCTGCCTCCTGTTCCTGGCCATATGAACATGGAGCAGTGGAGCACGGTGTGTTTCGTCTGATCTGTCAATTGTGGTGTTGTATTCTACCATGTATATCTTCGCCTAGCCTACTTTCGAGAATAAATTTACCGACTTTCTGATCTTACTAGTTCGTAGGCTCGTAGCGAGACAGTCAGGCTGGCCGTAACAACGGTAGTTACCTTGGCCATCCTATGGGTGATATCTTAGGCTCGTAGCGAGACAGTCAGACCGGCCGTAACAACGTTAGTTACCTTGGCTATCCTATGGGTGATGTCTCATATGGCGACATATATGGTGTAATATTGATGATATAATATTTGCAATTGCACAACATAAGTCTCGGAAGAGTAGAAATGCAAATAAGATAGATGTGTAATTGCAGCTATCTTGTGACACTAACCTGGCACGTTGCGCGTCGCAACTCGCAACCAGTTTACATCACAACTCCCAAGTGAACGTGTCCCCGTCCTTCTCAGGTCGCTCGTTTCAGGTAAACTTCAGAACCGGCCAAAAACTGGAATACTTGAGAAATCTGGGCGAAACACTCGGTTGTAAGACAGCTCAGAGATTCACGGGTATATCAAACAATCGAGAACACCAGTGCACCTTGCACTGGCCCCGATGGTGATGAACTTTACGGTAAAAAATCATATCATTACGACAGAACCTATGAGTCACTCAACCAAATCCTATGTAATTACAGCCTTTATAAGATCAGCGCAGAGGAAGACAAGACAGGTAAAGAAACTAAATATAGCTAGGAGTGATAGCCGAAGGAACTACGGTAAGGTAACAACATCCTTCATGCGCGCTACATTGATTCCAGCAAGTCCAGTAGGAAGTAGGCACTGCACGAGTTAAAAGAAACCACATGTCAACAGAAATGCAAAAAAAGATAAGTTGGTTGAAGTGATTAAATTGTGGGCTTTGTCTGGTGAGCATAGTTTCTATTATGAGACCAGCTGCCCATTTAATTTTGAATGAAAGGTTTTAAGAGATGTAGAGGCGTAGCACAAACCTCATGGGAAATGGCCGGCAGCACATGATGAACTTATGGTGACTGGTCCAAAAGAATGTTGACAGCATGGTTAATCACTGAAGCTACGCTAGGCACTAACCGAACTACAGGTGGCTTCATCACGATCGCGTCTGTAAAAATAATTGAATATAGGGTCAGGTACAAATTGTTGAATTTCTGATATGCCTGTCAAAGGTTTTAACTCTTAGAATTTGAGCAAAAACTAGCAGCACTGCATAATGGTTAGATAACTCAAGGTCTCGAGCACAATATTCGCTAACAGGTGACAGGTCCACTAGGCAGTAAATATGTTACGGATGACATCGTTGAAACGCATAAAACAGCATTCAAATGTGGAGTATCGCTTTAAAGATAGCATCGACCCTAAGTCAAATAAACAGGGAACAACCAATATAAGGCTATTTTGGAATCGAGGAATTCATAGTGAAGTACTCCTTCCATCCCAGAATCCTGTGTTTCAAAGAAGCCTTTACTAATACTGGAAAAAGAATTATTAATACAGCTAGCAATCTAGCACCATAAAGTATAACTGGTTAGATTAGAACACACCTGCAAATGGAATTGGATGCAATCTACTATATCTGAATCTAATTGTTTTCCTCTGTTGCTGCTGCACTGATGTCCACAATTTCACCTTCATGGCCACATGCAGCTTCATCTTTTGAATGCATAACTCCATTTGATGTTATCTGTGGGGCTGTAGACATATCAGGCATCGTACTATGGTCAGATTTGTGTTTATCTGTTTCTCCCAGGGGATGTTCTTTTCTGCCATTTTCAGCCAATCCATTTACTTCCTGTCTTTGATTTGTTGGTATTCCAGTATCAGTAGTCATGTCAGCATCCTCAGTTGCAGAAATTGATTCAGGCAAAGGAATTTCTTCTGTAGCAACATTGGTGTTTTGATCTAAAGTGGCATCAGTAGTCATTTCCGTATCTTTGGTTGTACATACCTCGGAAATTACAGTAGACTTGGGCTTTTCTTCAATGGCAACGTTGTTGCTTGGACATATTGGTGTTCCAGCATTGGTAGCCATTGCCACATCATTGATCATGTGTGGAACAGAAGTTACTTCAGTGTGGAGATTCTCTTCAGTGCCAGCACTGTCACCCTGGCTTATTTGTATTCCAGTATTGGCGCTCACCTCCACAACTTCCATTTTATGTGCTTCAGAGGTTTCTTGAGTACTGGGTTTGTCCTCAGTGGCAATGTTGTTGGTTTGATCCTTTGGTGGTATATCATTATCAACCATTTCCACATCTCTGCCCGAAATGAGCTCAGAGTCTGCTTTTGACTTGATATTTGCTTCAGAAGCAACAATAGAAGAGTTGTCTGAGCATTTTTCCCCAGAAATTTCATGAGATTTCTGCTCATGCAAGGTATCATTTGTTGAATCCGCACTGCCTGAAACTAATACACTGGACACTTCTTCATTAGGAGATTTCCCTGATTGGGTTCCAGTCTTACTGTTAGCAGGCAGTCCACTGCTCTGTAGTTCATCAGGGGGCTTTTCATTACGATGTGCAATGCTACTGCAAGGACCCACATTCCCCGTCTTTTCACTAGATAAGGCTGCATCATTATTTAAATTTCCTTCTGGAAGTCTGGATATAGAAAGCGGCTGTGATTGTGCAACAGCAGCAGTAACACCTAGAGCCAAAACAGTACTGCTCTGAGCAACACTGCCAGCTTGCGTGGAGTTTTGATTCAGAAGATTACCATTTACAGCCACTTTTTGGTGATTTTCCTTTACAGCAATATTTTCTGCCGCTCCTTGCGAAGAAACCTGCGTTCCAGCTGGTGGTGGAGTAGCCTTTGGTTCGACAGCAGTTCTTGTAACCTTGCCATATTTTGGTGGCAAAGGCTTGCCCTTACTCTTTGTCAGGCATGTTGGACAATGCCACTCAGCTTTAGGAACACCTTTATTACCATAATGCTGAAGGCATTTCAAGTGTGCTCCCTTCTCACAAGCATCACAAACAAGCAAACTTTCCATATCCATGATAGCTACTTTGCATATTTGACAGTCCAAACGAGAACGCATGTACTCAGTTGATGGCGGAATCCAGCTAGGATGATTAGCTGGTTGGTGCAGAACACGTTGAACACTTTTTGCTATTTCACTGTGGTTAGCAAAAGTAGGTTTTGGAGGAACAGGTGCCACGCTTGGTGTAGCATGATGACCTGTAAGAGGGTTTCCTGCTGTAGCATCAATTGATGCTGTCTTTGTGTCCTGATTTTTCGCCACCGGATTGGAACTCTGTACAGCGTTCAGATTGGACCTAGCACATGTATCATGAAATGATTTGTTCAAGTTGCCATAGGTTGCTGCAGGGGGAAATACACCTAATTAGTTTCTGAGCTAGGAGAATCAAAGTGAATCTCTTTTTCATAATCAGAATTATAAATGTAAAGTACTTTTGAGACACAAGAAAGAAATTCTTCTAGGCAAGAGTGTTTAAGAAAGATATAAATGATACATAAAGAAGAGCTTAATAGTTTCTATGTCCAAAGTTGAAATCATAAAAACTGTTGAATTTCAGGTTTGTTTCTGCGCTTCTGAATAATCAACTCCAGGTCCAGGAAAAGGGATACTTCTCTTGGTCTGGAATCTGAAGGGAATGGTAGTAGAACATTTACATATGAGGCTTTACCCAAAAGCTCTAAACAATATTCCAGAAGACCAAGACCAAAGCAAGCATCTTACTTAGAATTAGATGGAATGAGGAATTAATAAAAAAAAGAGTAAATTTCACAAAACTACATGTTTTATGGTTCAAGTTGCAGAAAACCACACATATTTTGACACTTGACACTTAAGTACATATATTTTGGTAGTTTAGTTTCACAAAACCACACTATCGATGAATGGATTCACCCGTGAGATGACGTGGTTGCTCCATCTAGGATGATGACGTGGTATATCCTATTAATTTCGTGAGATGGCTGGTAATAGGATGTCATGTCCTCGTCCTATGTGAAAGAGCCACATCATCTCGCGGGTGAATCCATTCATTGATAGTGTGGTTTTGTGAAACTACACTACCAAAATATATGTACTTAAGTGCCAAGTGTCAAAGTGTATGTGGTTTTCTGCAACTTGGACCATAAAATACGTAGTTTTGTGAAATTTACTCTAAAAAAAAGTGAATGCTCAAAAAATAAATGCATAACTGATGGTGTAGATAAGGTGGAGCAGTACCTCCGGTGCGTACTAGATTAGGAGGACCATTAACTCCTTTATCCGATTTAAGATGCGATGGAGCCATATGGGGCATTGTAACAACTGAAGGGTTGTTAACTGATTTTACAGGAGATGATCCAGGTGGTTTCAAGGTAACCAGGGAAGCAGAAGTCACTGGGGCAGTAGCAGGCAAGGCAGCAACAGCTGGTAGATTCCTAGGAACTCCGACAGCAAACTTGGGAGCTCCATGAAAACCTTGGAAATCAGCTGTGCCACTTGAAGTGATTGTTTGAGCTGTACTAGTCGTTGGCTGTACTGGAGATTCCTTGACTTCTTCCATCTGGAATTAGGGTAAAAGAAGAAAAGAAATTGATAACTTGGCAGATGTACAAATAAAATGCATAGACCAGGCAATGAGGGTGAACTCACCAGACTACAACAAAATTATTTTTGCATAATTAATAATAGTATAATAGTTAACTAACGATGATAAATTGGCAACTAGACTCAATTCAGAAAAAAAAGAGTATAATTCATAACTGAAAGGCTAAGTGAAACCACTCAATGCTGAGAAGTACGATCACATCAATCCAATAATAAAGTGAATTCGAAGAAACCCATACAAAGAAACAGTAAGCGTAACCAAAACAAACCTATGATGACACTAAGTTCAAATTCATGTTGCTCCTACAATTATGAAAATAGAAAGGCATCACTTAGAGAAAATTCTTAATCTGGCAATCAAGTTCACTAGTTCCCTTATATGGCACTTGAAAATTGTCATACCAGATTCACTTATATGCCATCAAGTGGAAATTCATAGATCAACCACATCAAGTGAGTGGCAAATTATCAATTAGATCTAGAAGAGTGGGAAATCCTAGAATGAGAAACTAAAGAGTGGCATATGATATTTTTTGCCTTCAGAATAATGGCAAAACTACAATTTGTCTTCATCCCCTCCTTTCTTCTCTTCTTCTCAATCCACTTTCGCATGGGCCCCCATCGGCACAGGCCAGCACCACTCTGCTCTTCCACAACATGCCATGCATGCATTAACTCATCACCAGGCCAATCAAAGCTCATAGTGAGAAGCAGCATACTTGCAACACATGCTTCCCATCTGCATGGCTGCAAGATCGCCGATGAAGAAGCCCTCCTGCCAGAGAGGGAGCCAGAGAGTGCTATGTACTGTAGAGCTGCCCCTCAAAAGGCTGGCAGTCAATCACAGCTTCCCCACCACCCACCATGTGTTGTGTGCTCCACAGTCCTGCTCTCTCATAGTATCGTAGAGGCCAAGAAAAAAGGCAAGAGAGCAAGCAGACTCAAATGAAGTGCTGGGATTGGGCAAAGGGGTTGTCAGAGGGAAGGACCAATATATATGAAACTGACAAAGGGACAAGAGGGGCGCCAGGCCTAGTGCTTGTCTGCTCAATTGTGGATTGTACCCAGACTTCCAAACATAGTTACTTCCTCCGTTTCATAATGTAAGACTTTCTAGCATTGCCCACATTCATATAGATGTTAATGAATCTAGACACACATTTATATAGATGTTAATGAATCTAGACACACGTGTCTAGATTCACTAACATCTATATGAATGTGGGCAATGCTAGAAAGTCTTACATTGTAAAACGGAGGGAGTAGATTGATTAAGATCCAACCACGCAGTCACTTGTAATATCAGCAAGCTCTGACATGACTACATCTCGCTGGACAGCTGTAGCAGCCACAGGAAATTGACGCTATCCTTCGCAACATCTCGCTGATGGATGACCCCACCATGCAATCAACTCCCATGAGGTTGAAGAAGGAAAGGAGGGGGAACATGGGTAATTTCATAGCAAATTTACAGTGGCATATAAGGAAAGAATTGGTTTCGCGGCATCAGAAGAACCTGACTTCAGAAATAGTATATCGCTGAAAATTAGTGGTGCACTTTAATACCATCCAAAGTTTGTGTTGTTTAGTTTTTTTACCATTTCTTGAGTTGGAGGCACTTTACCGTAATCTGTGGCAAAACTACCCTCGCTCTCTCTCCCCTTCACTTCTCACTAAGCTTCGCATAAGGATTTAGGGATGGGTGTGGGTTGACCCATGGGTATTCTTTGGCCCATTCTAGTCCTACTAAATGAACTAAATTTCACTTTAGACTCTCTAAAAGTGAAACTTAGTTCATTTTAGTTGAACTAAAGTGGGTCAAGAAATACCCGCGGCGGCCACCCCTAGGAGGATTCTTCTGCATATTGGTGTGCTGGACAGCAGCCCCGATGGCTAGCAGTAGAAGGGACAACACCGGCCACCAGGAATACTGGAATGTGGCTGTAGAAGCACGCGCATGCTCTCCCCTGGCACGGGCACACAGTGTTGCAGTCGGTCTGCCCCTGCTACCACCCCTCCAGCATGCTGCAGAGGCGAACGCAAGTACGGTGGATGCCAGGCCAGTGGGCTGCTTCACTATGTAGTGTCAATCCAGCACAGGATAGACATATCCATTGTAAGGACAAAACCATCTTTTTCGTCGGATTATTGACAGAAGAAAAATCATTAAACGGAAAAGAGGCAACAGAGTGGTATATGCCCAACCATGGAAAACTTTGGATAGTATTGAAGTGTACCGATGAATTTATATGGTATATTTGTGAACTCAGGATCTTCCGGTGTTATGGAACCGATTTTCCCATAAGGAAACTCATGAATTTTGATTGGCATATAAAGGATTTCCTCCATCACTTAACACGAATATATACTCAAAACACGGGGAAGCAAAGTAAATTATCTTAGTGGGCAACAAGCCAGCAACACTAGGAAGGCAAACAAACCATATCAGACCAAAGTTAAACAGGAGTAACAGAAGCTTACCAGTACATGAGCTGTTTTCTAGAAAATCAATCAATATAAACCATCAAGAGAGTAGCATTCACATGATATAGCTAAGCTAACAATTCAATAATATCACGAGCATTCTCCCCAACGCAGCATAGAGTATAGACCAAATCGTTCCAGTTTTCGTCAATGGTGCTAGTTCATCGTAAAGCTATAAAGCTGAATGAAGCGAAAAAAGAATGAGAGTTACCAAACCTTGCGCTTAGTGAGCATCAGCCTGTCGGCGATGGAAGCCTTGGGCGGGCGGAACCCCATGGCGGCGGGATCCCTGGCCCTGTTGAGGCCGAGATCCTCGACGAGGGCGCGCACGGCCTCCCCGGGGAACAGATCCTTGGGCCGCACCGCCCCCTCCGTGACGACCGCAGCCAGCCTCTCCCTCGCCTCCGCGGCGAGCGCCCGCTCCGCGGCCGTCGGCTCCCTCCCACCCCTCACCTCCCCAGCGGCGGCCAGCACCATCACGATCTCCGCCACCCGCCGCAGCCCCTCGCCGTCCCCTCCGCCCGCTCCTCCCCTGCGCCGCCGCTTCCCCAGGGAAGCCGGGGGCGACGCCGCCGCGGCGTCCCCCATGGCCGCCGCCCCCGCCGCGCGACCAGGAGGGGGAAAACCCTAGGAGAGAGAGCGGGAGGCAGAGCCGCGACCGCGCGAGGCCGGGGGAGCCTCGAGAAGGTTCTAGAAGGTCCTGGAAGCCGAGGGAGACGCCCAATTCAAACGCGTCCACGTTTTCGCGCTCAATTAGAGTTGAGTTTGGAGACGAGAAAGGAGGGAGCCGATAGATGGTGGCGGTGAGATGGGCGAGGCCGCGGAAGGGTGGAGTTTTTGGGGGAAGACTAGCGAGAAGAGAGAGAGAGAGAGAGAGAGAGAGAGATAGGGGTAGGCTAGTAGTAGAACGCAGCCGAGCACGGGAGTTTTTTTTTTTCTCCTTTTCTTTTCTTTTCTTTTTTTTTCGGGGGTGGGGGGATTTTCGGTTGGTGGGTGGCGGAGTTGGGTTGGTGGGTCCGGGGGTGGAGTAGTGGAGACCGGATGGACGGCGTGGATGCGGGCTGCGGGTTAGGAGGCGGTATGGATACCGTTGGATGGTTGGATGGGCTTCTGTGTGGGCCATTGGGAGATAGGAGTGCAGGATGGGCTAGTGGGCTTTTGGAGGCTGGGCTGAATTTCCTTTTCGCTTCAAATCGCCTTGTGTACTCATTTCGCCATGATTTGTGAAAGAATTGTACTTAGATTTAAATCGTTTTCGGCATGAATTCTTTAAAATATCTACGTTCCAGTTTCAAAGGAGCCATCACTTTCCTTTCTTGCCTGGGTTGTGCTTCTCTGCTTGCACAGTATCACAATTCACAAGACAGGGAAGAAGGATCAGAAAGCAGGCACATAACAAGATTTTTGGTTTGTAGACAGGAAGGTGGAACCCTGTTTGGAGTCTCAGTTCACACAGGATAAAACATAGAGTTAACAAGTCTCCTAAAACATAGAGGATTAAAATGTTTAAAACTGTACAGTTTGACCGGTACCACTCTCTTTTTACACCAAATCAAATGCGACCAATTATCAACTCCCGACATCTATCTGTACAGAGGGGGTTGAAACTTGAAAGGAAGACATGGAGAGAGAGACCTAGCAGACTCCCAACTCTCAACTCCAAGTCACTTTTTTGTTCTTCAGGGGGCGACATCGTTTGCCACAAAAAAAACTAGTAGATGCGCCATGCCACACCACAAACTTTCGCAGCTAACCAATCTTTCTCACTTCTATACACTTTGGGAAGGAAAACTCTTCTCTAGGCAGTTAAGATTTATCGGCGACTCCAAAGCAATGGTCATAACTCTTCTCCTGCTGTCCTCTCGTTCTGATTGTTGTCCTCTTCATTTCCAAAGGGATCCCCTGTTGCAATTGCTCCATCTTCCAGTGGCATATGGATACATATGCCGTTGATGGGAAATGGTTCCTGGTATTCATGCATGGTGTTAGAAACACGCTTATAACCTAAGATGCAGTTTGCTAGTTAAATCACCATTACCTTGTTCGATATACTGTTTGAACATAAGAACAAGCGGACAAATGTGTGTCGACATTTTAAACAAGCTTACCTGATTTCCAGCATCTGGCCCATTAGAATGAAAAAGAATGGGGCGGCATCTCTTATCCTCGTTCATTAAACTTGAATTCTGGAAATGTGAAATGAGTGCAGTCCTTCCCTGGATCCTAGCGTAGGCCAAGGAGGCTACTTTCTCACTGTTGAATTTTTCCCATTTCTTGCCATTGAACGCCTGCAAATTACAGCACATATTCAGAAACAGATCATTACAAATTGTTCCGAATAAGTCTACCAGTAATCTTAGGTTGTTGTGCAACTCAGCTAGACATATTTAGGAGAAACTTACATAAACATAAACCACGAACTTCATGTTGATGGATATCAATTAAAGAACTGTGTAGCATGCAAGAGTCAATAAAAGAAATGGACATACCTGGTAGAACGATACAATGTGCACAGGTGATATCATGTTAATGAACGCGTAGCCAACATTGCATTTGTTCTGCGTGGGGAAAATATAATTAAATTCTGCTGGGCATCAAAACAAGTCACTGCAAACAGCAGTACAATACAATACAAATCTAGTACCTTGAAATCAATTGGCAGGTAGAAAAAGTCATAGGTTCCTTTATGAAACTCATCAATTGCAGCCAGCAGCATCTTAGAAGTGTACCTAACAATTTAGGAGCTGAGCAACTATGTAGTAATGTAAGATCAGAAAAGAAAATGCAATATCAAGCCACATACATACTTGTTCGGAATATTTTTAATCATCAATGTAGTTCGAGTATCATCGCCTTTACGGATCTTCTCCAAATCAAGCTGGTATTGCTTCTTGCTATCAGCTTGAAACACACTGCTGTCAACTCGGCGGTTACGACCACGTTCGATGGAATTGTCAAGTCCAAAAGAACCAGGCCCTTGATATGTGGGATTCCCGTAAAATGATTGTCCCAATCTAGGTGATAGTATTGGTCTAAAGCTACTAGAGTTATTGTCTGACATGTTTCCACTCAAAGCAGAAACAGGGTTTACAGAAGCACGAGCAGCCATGTTCAGCATGAGGCCAGTTCCGTTTCGGCCACTACCAATATTCCCAATGTTCCCAAACCTGACTTGATTCATATAAGACGTCTCTGGTGATTCAGGTAAAAATCCAAAGTGGCTCTCAAATGGAGCACCTGAAGGGGCAGAGCCAACATGATGATGATGAAGCTGATCTTGAGACCCAAAAAGTGAAGCCTGACGGCCACCATACAATAATCCCTGCCCCTGAGAACGGGTATTAGATGGTATTGCATGACCAATTGCTGGTGGACGCCAAATAGGGGATTGAGCATGTTCAGAATAAGGCTTTGGACTACCCCATAGAAACTCAGGCCCTGTTAAAGTCCCAGGACTTGAACTCATATGTTCACTTTTGTGATCTTGGTATGAATGGGAATGCTGAAATGCAGCACCGTGGGGCTGGTTGTTGTTTGAGAATACTTTGTCATATTTAGACCAGTTGCTATCCTTCCCGATTGGAGCAATCTTCACAGCATTCGATATCAAGGAAGGAGGCATCCCAATAGGACTCATGCCATTTCCAGTTGGTGACGCATTGAATGCTTGCAACAAATTGTTATCAGTTGGACTACTGTATTGAGCCCATGCCCCTGACAGGAGATGATTTAACATTCATAAGTTGTAAACAAATAGACAGAAGCATATTAAATGTCCCTAAAGTAGATCCAGTCCGAGTACCTGGAGGAGAGCTGGCAATAGGTGAACCAACATGAGGAATCCTGTAGCTTCTGGGTTCATCCTGGTCTATATCATGACCAAGCTGCTGCATCAAGCTAAACCAGAAGAAAATGAGAATAAATCAGATCAGTGTTAACAAAGTGAAACATTCTGTCAATGATAATTGGTTTGCACGATAACTGAAAAAACATGCCTTCCAAAACTCAAACAGTAGGAAAGATTGGTTCCATGGCATAAACAATTCTCAAGTTCAAATTTGTACCACTAAAGCTCATAATAAACTTTAATAGCGCTGAAAATTTGCAATGTACCATTTGATCATTTATTATACCATTTTTGTCCTCCATTTGCCTTTTTTCTGTTTTTTTCCGTTTTTGTTTATTTTCCTAGCAGGAGAGGCAATTGAAAATGACGATGCTAGATCAAATGCAAGAGACGGAAAGCAGAGCAGCTCTAGCCACGAAAGAGACAAGACCTGTCCGCTCAACCTGTCTGTTTGTCCATCCACTCCCTTGGCGATGAGCGTGATTTGTTTTGCGCGGCATATACAGCACCCTGGGTGACCTCCTAACCACTGAACCCACACTTGCCTGCCGCACCACTATCTACAATCATTTCATCGCCAATGGCCACCACCATGTGCCCTGCCTCTCCCTCTCCCTCTCTCATGAAATCGTGATCACTACTACTATGCATGTGTCTGAGTGAATCTCTGAATTGGTGGCCCACTGTGGGAATCAGATGATGGGAAACGGTGTCCAATGACAACAATCAGTGGTGCAGTTGGAGCTTTCTCCATGGTTGAGGTGAGTGTGGTTCACAAGGGTTATTTTTAGTCTGAGTTAATGGAAACATTAGTTAAGTAGACGGAAATGGTATTAAAAAGAAACGGTGCAAACTCTCAATGGTATTACGTGTGAACTTTCAATGTCATTAAGCATTTTTCTTAAATTAATCCTAGGACTAAATGAGCATATCCACAAGCTTGAAAATATACCTTCAGGAAATAGTGCACTGCCCATTAAATAAATCAGGGAGACAGGGTGTACAACAAGCTAATTACTTTCAAAACTGCAAGTATTTCGTTGAAATAAATGAAAGCCAATCAACTGAGGATGAATCTGAGGTATTCTACTGCTGATGAAATGATAAAACTGGATTAAAACAATCAGATTGCTAATAGCATCACGAGGATGTAACGAAAAGCCTTAACAGGCATGCCTTGGTCAGTTAAATAGTGCAATTTGATACATTAAAATATTTGCATACAGCAGATAAATCAACATAACTGCAGCATCAATAGATCATCCCAAAATTGGTGTATAAATTCAGTAGGGTTCTACTGCAAAGTGCAAACAACAACTCAAGACTATGACAGATAAATGGATAGGGAAAGAAAACGCATAATCATACTTTCTGCGCGTTCCACCAGGACGACTTGGTTCCAACTTTATGCGTTTTCCAGCTATCTCGCTTTTATTCAGTGACCGAAGAGCAGCTTCTGCTGCTCTTACATCATAGAACTCAATAAACTTATGATGCTTTTTATTTGGTGTCTCTCTTATCTGTGGATAGAAACTAACACCATCAGATTGAATTCCAAAAAACAGAAACAAAGTATACGAAGAACGTAAGAACATGCAATTTTCAAGCAAAAACATATTTCAAAGGGAAAAATTGGAAGTAACATCCTAACCTCCTTTACTTCCCCATATGTTCCAAAAATCTGGCGAACTTCTTCATTGGAAACTGAGGGATCCAAGTTAAAAATAACCAGAGTTCCCTGGTTTAAATCTTTATCTGATGGATTCTCCTACAAAATCAACATGGCAAACTGCTAAGTACTTTATGGTAAAGGGACTAAGCATTTGAAAGTGAACCATAACATAATAAACCTTCGGGATGGAGAAATGAATGTCCAACTTTCTCCTCCTCAGAGGCTTGTTCTGCAATCCACGCATCGCACCACGTGCAGCTCGGATATCAAAATAAGATATCATCACAAAACCTCTATGTTTCGTTGCAGTATAAAGTGTTCGGATATCCCCATATTGCTGAAATACAATAATGGATATTGTAAAGATCAACTGAGATACATTATAAGAGAAGTGCAGACATAACACTGACTATGAGTTGATTAGACAGCACATAAAGTTGTTCAGTTGCAAGGTATACCTACTGATAAGTAACACTAACAAATCAATCTCAGATGGCAATAATTATATAAAGCTAACAAACATTGCAGTTATTACCTCAAAAAGTGAGCGCAATTCTGTGTCGTCAACATTGCTATTGATGTTCCTCACAAACAATGTTCTAGAAGGGTGCTCCCCGTATGGATGCTCCCCGGCCACAGTGCTGGCACTATTTGACGGACCAAAATGGTTGACCCCATTGCCTCTAAGCCCATCAGCTATACTTGTATTCCCCAAACCAGCTGTGATGCTCTCCACAGGGTCTGTGTCCAGCTCCATGCCCCCTCCACTGCCAAATACATCAAATTCCTCCAGTTCTTCCATAGAATTTGTCTGCCCAGCAGGCTCAATCTCATTTGTGATACCCGCGAAAAGATCATCTTCATTAGGCAATAAATCATCGATTTGGCGGAGATCAAAGTCAAACTTGTAGTCCTTCCCTTCAGGGTCATCATCGAGCTCTTTTAGTTTTGCAGAAGCATCATCCATCAATGGGGTGCCACGTGCAGAATCAAGAAAGTTGACTGAAAGAGGGAAACACACATTATCAGGAATATCAATACAAACTAGGGAAATTCCCTACACAATTTTGCACGGGGTAGTTAAATTGGATTTGCTATAGAGCTCTTAGCTCCTATTTTCATGTATGTAATTATACTTTATATACAGCAGATATTAAAAGTAGGTCTGGATTCAATATACAACTCTTTTCTTCGGATTCTATATATACACAATGGTACTTTTTATACGACTATTGCTATCAATCTACATGGTTATAATTTGGTCCCACAATGATCTAACGGCTTAGATTTTTTTCTCATATTAATGTAGTAATTTCTAGGCCTCCAAAGCAAAGGTGGTGCCCCCTTTTCAAGCTATATTCATAATAATATATGGATATGAGCCAGTGCTACATTACATTACAGAAGAAAAGGTTGGATTCATGTGATTTTTGGCATGTTAAAGATGGGAATTTTTTACAATAAATGGTGGTGTGAAACCACATATTTGGCATTTGGACACAACTAATTCCATTTGCAGCCTTCCCTCGTATCTCGGTCCCTAGTGTCATTCCCTCTTCCAACTTTGCTTTGCACACATCACAATTAAAATCCCTCAGTCATACCTATGTAACTACAGTACTATAGCCAAAAAATAAAAAATAAACACCCTACTGCACCAATGAGCACATCAGTTGTTTGGACAGCAAGCTATTTCCAGCATGACATGCACAGACTAGAGCATGACATGTCTTATGAGTGAAAGTGGCATACTTTTTTCATGAGGAAGGACTGGCAAAGAGGTGGAGAAGAGGCTGGCATTTGCCAGCCCATTGCGCGCATTCATCGGTGGTGGCAGAGGGTCTATCCATGGACTGTTGTTTCCAGCCATGTTCCTCATCTTGACTGCAGGGGGAACTGCAATCCCTGGAACAAGACAAATGCATATAGGGACAGCGATTAAGATCCAGTTTACCAGAGCAAAACACCGTTTACCTGGAAGGTGGAGTACATGTCATGATACCTCGTGAGTTGAAAGGATCTTGTGGTCGGTCCATCACCACATTTGCCGAAGGGATGCCTGCATATCAGAGGGTATCATGAGCTAATTTTAGCATTAGGATTATCCCTACCTATAACAGATTGAAATAAACAAATGGGGAAAACTGAATCTTTTTACTTTGTTACGTTTGCAATGCACGAATTAAACAAGATTGGCAGAACTGATAGAGCATTTTTACATTTGAAGAGTTGAAGTACAAACAACACATGGCACATATGGTTAATGTGCCTGAGAGCAAAAAGGAAGCAAAATTTTATCTTAACTTGAGGGGCAAAAAAAGAAACGAAGAAGGGAATAGATTTCATCATGAAGCGAGAAGCGCTGCAGTTGACAAGTGAAAGCTGTGAACTTTGATTCAAAAGAGGGCAAGCAAAAGAGAAAGAAAGATTTCAATTGCCTCTCCTCTAGTTTCTTTCCCCTTCCTCCTCTTTGTTCACCTTGTTGGCTTCCCTCCCTCACATATCACTCTCAACCACCAATAGTCTAGAGGAGAAAGTGAATAGAAATCAATACTTAGCGCTTCCACTATTGCTGGTTGACTGCTCATTCCTTCTCTACCCCTGCGGTTGTTTTCCTCTTCTGGGGCTTTTGTGACCATTTATTAAGGTTCAATATGCAGTTGATTGATTGATTGCCTATTTTTCCTCAACTAATTCATCCAAGCACTTTAACTTCTCCACTTGGTTAGTCGTCATCTTCGTCGTCGTCTTGGGATATTACCAGGTTTGTTAACATGCTTACATTTGCAGACTTGTAGATTGATCAATCGTGTCACGGATACCTTCCATGGGGGGTAATGTTTGTTGCTTTCACTTGTCAGTTGTTATAGCAATTCTCATCACCCCAAGAGAAATATATGCCTTCTTTTTTTCTTTTCTTCCCCCAAGTTGATATCAAAACTGTTCCACTCCCAGCCACATTGACCATACCATGGCAACCATAGTTTGTATTGCAACTATTCAAATCTAATCACACGCTATCAGTACCGCCAATAAAAGATTCAATTCCCCAATTCATTTAAATCCGTTGCCACATCGTTGCATCGCCTCACCTCCACCCCTTTTCCCCAACAGCCAAGTCTTGCCCATAGTTCTTGCAACTATTCAAATCTAATCACACGCTATCAGTACCACCAATAAAAGATTCAATTCCCCCATTCATTTAAATCTGTTGCCATATCGTTGCATCGCCTCACCTCCACCCCTTCTCCCCAACAGCCAGTCTTGCCCACAGTTCTCTAACGCGTAGCATCGTTTCAACAGCCCACTTCCCCGGCAATCCCTAGTAAGCGCCAAGCCCATAACCGCGTTTGGAGGCAGAGAACGAGGACAAGGATTTGACCTTTTCCCTGTTTGGTATTCGCACAATCTTTTGAAGTCCCAACTAGATTTCTAACCTAAAGCTTCATTATTCCATTCAGAATTCTCGCTATGCAGTGAAGCATCACTAGCGTCTAGCGAAGACTAGCAAAGAATTGGGAAGTGCCAAAAATGGAAACCACACATGTCTCCTGCCCTGCCTCCGGCGAGGTTAGGATTAGGGTTTCGGGGTGGGGTCGGGGGAGATCGGGGTTTAGAGGATCGCCGTGGCGGCGAGGCGGTGCTGGTGCCGCCGGCCACGGGTCGGAAGACGGCCGGCGACCGGGTGCAACGGGAAGAAAAGTTACGGTGAGGGGAGCGGCTACGAGAAAGAGCGCGGCGGCGGCGGCGGCGGCTTCCGGTGGTGGACTCGGGTCGGCGGCCCCGCGCCGATGGTGGCCCCGACGGCCACGGAGGTTGGGGAAACCATATGAATATGAGATTAGATGAGACTGAGGAGGAGCAGGGAGCTCACCGGAGTTGGTCGCCGGACCACGCCGGTGGTCGTCGGAGCGGCGGCGATCGTAGCCGGGGGAGGCGGCCGCCGATCGACGGGGATACCTAGGGGAGGGAGGGCGCCGGAGCTCGCTGCAGACTGCGGCCACGGTCGTAGGGTCGAGCCGTCGGGGTGGTGGTGGTGGTGGGGATCGGTGGTGAATGGGGATAGAAATGGGTGGGGAGGAGTGTTAATTGGATAGGGTGTCCAACCCGTTAAGAAGACACGGTTGTTGATTGACCCGTTAGACCTTAACCAAGCGAAAACCGCGGTTTCGGGGGAAAAAAGCATATATGTTGCACAAGTGGGCCCATTTGTCAATATAATACTGCAAATTATGTATTGTTAGGTATTTAAATTGATGAACATGAGAAAACTAAACTGCATTGATAATGTTTTTTTAGATTGAAATCTTCCGGTAGCCTTAACCTGCTATATTTAGGCTGTGTTCTTTTCTTCTCTTTCTCAACCCTTTCAGTTGTTTAACCTATTAAACGGTGTACTTTTTTAAAAGTTTTATATCTGAAAGTTGCTTTAAAAATTATATTAATCTATTTTTCAATTTAAAAATCATATTAATTGTTTGCGTTACTTAATTAATCTTACTATAATCACGTGTTTTATTTTCCGTGTTTAAGTAGGCTTCATTAGTAACGCAAACAATTTTTCGTTTGCAACCAATGTGATGCAACATATCCAATAGAAGCCTGGAATCTTGAGTTTTTTTTTTCTTATCATGAATAAGATGAAAGTTGCTAAGTAAAACCCTCCCCTAAAATTAATTTTAAAATCATATTCTAAAACTCAATATGAATTATAGTGTTTTAGAAAAAGTACGAATGGACAAATTGTTTTATACTCCTAAGTTGTTAAGAAAAGCAAATAAATTTCTTTAGTACTTCAAAACTACTTCCTCCGTTTCACAATGTAAGTCATTCTAATATTTTCTACGTTCATATTAATATGAATGTGGGATCCTATATGTCTAGATTTATTAACAATCAATGTGAATGTGGGAAATGATAGAATGACTTACATTATGAAATTGATAGAGTACTTCATATTACTCCTAAATAATATTAAATTGTTAGAATCATGTTTTGTAGTCTAAACTTAATTAGCACCGTAGAAAAAGGACGGGCAGAGAGCTCAACATGGTCTACGGCCGAGAAAACGATGACAGTTGATGGGATCAATCTAGTGGATAAGGATAAAAATAACTGGAGTGCTAAATGAGTTGGGTTTTCAGTTTTTCACCCGATATCTATAAAAGGACAAACGGGCGAAGGCTGCACCCGCTAGGCTTTCCCCGATATGGGACGATTTTTTAGGATTTTGCAGTAGTGGTAGAAAGAAAGCGACAGCTATGATGATTGGCTCCATCGTTTTGCTACCTGCCTTTTATCCTCAGAACCTCGATGACATGTGGGCCCGGTTCTCGGGGCCCACCTGGCACTGCAGTTGGAGGCACTTCTATAGGGTGGATTGGAATGGCGGCTGGCGTCCGCGGCCGCTTTCCTTTTCCTTTCCTTGTAAAGCTATCCTGCTTTCCTTGCTCCCTCTGGTTGTCACGTTGTGTCATTGTGTGTTCCATTGTCTCCCCTAAAATGCGATTATATATACAGTACAATGTAAAATACTGCGTATGTAATACTTTATCAATTACACGAGGGACGTGTATGTTACTACCCATATACAAGTAACAAAACACACGCCTAATTAAGTTGTAATTCTACATTGATTTTTTGTTAGCATGTTTTTCAAACTACAAACTTTCTAAGTCCCATTAGTTGCTCAGAGCCAAAATTTAAATTTAAATTTAATTTTTTTAAAAAAAAATTGAAGTTGATTTTAAATACATTTAACGTAGTTCTTTTTTTATATTGACTTTTAAGTCACTAAGAACACATATATAAATTTTAACCATAAATTAATTTTATTCCTTAATAAACAGTTTTAGTTTGTTAGAAAAATATAGTCAATCAATAAGGACCTCTATATAGAAGTTGTTCTAAAATAGCAAATAAATTTATATTCAAATTCATAATAATTAAAACTCAATTAATCATAGTCTATTTCCGTATCGTTACTTAGGTTGTGTTTAGATGGAGGGGTGTAAAGTTTTAGCGTGTCACATCGGATATACACATTTGAAGTATTAAACGTAGTCTAATAACAAAATAAATTACAGAATTCGCCTGTAAAACCACGAGATGAATTTATTAAGCCTAATTAATCCGTCATTAGGAAATGGTTACTGTAGCGCTACATTGTCAAATCATGGCGCGGTTAGGCTTAAAAGATCCGTCTCGCAATTTATGCACAATCTGTGTAATTATTATTTTTTCGTTTATATTTAATACTCTATTCATGCGTCCCAACATTCGATGTGGCAGAGCGTAAAATTTTGCCAAGAGATCTAAACAGGCCCTTAATCTTAATTGTTTATCAATCTCGAACGTAGACAATTTCTCAAAGATGCGGATAGCCGGATACCAGCAACAAATTTAGCAGGATAACGTATTTACTTGTATGCGCATGAGCTCATCATTCTGACCGGCCGGGCCATGTTGATCATCGATTTCATGCATTATATTGGCTGATGACCTCCCTTATCCAATCAACACGTTACACATGCATCATCAATCTCCTGCTAATTATATTTAACTACGTACAGTACATCTATGTGATGATTGATGTCCTAGTAGAGGGAGTCCTGGATCAGTTGGCAGAGGAGCTAGCATAATTAAGCCATGCATAGATGCAAGGTTGCTTCGCTGACTGACTAATCCTGTGCTTATCAGTTGATGATACGAAACTACTACGACTTGGAGGGCCAACTGTACCGTGTCAACTCCGGTTACTTCTCTAAGCACTCCTTAAAAATTTTCTTTTATTTAGCTTGCTCTGCCGTGCTGTTTGGTTTGTTTGACCCTAGGCATTAAACTGATGCCTAGCCTAACCAGAGATGTTTGATTCCCTTCATCTATCTACTCTACTGATTTCATTCCATGATGATTACCCTGATGAGTTACTGACTGACATGGATGAAAATTTTATAGGCCAACTTGTCTCGAATGCCTCCACTAATCGCCAATTAGCAGGGCAGATAATCTCCCCAACAACGAACACAATCATGATGCACTGATGCACGGTCTGAAGCTGCATGGACTGGACCACTCTTGTGCGTATGTTCAGTTCTGCGCTTCTGCTATCGCATCTGAATCTGAATCTGAATCTGCCTACAGTGTGCAGCTGCTCTACCTCACGTCCTCACCCGGCAGCATCGGCAGCAGGCCCCTGCATTTGTATGTGAATCCAGGACAAGCTTCCAAGCGTTTGCTTATCAAAGAAGCTGCAATCTATCCATCCATACATATGCAGTTGAACGTCGCATTCCTCCTGTGCTTTCTTCGAAAAGGCGATAAGTCGCGCTCCGTTGCGTCACCGATGCCTCGCGGCTCCATTGCTGCGCCACAGGCTTGATTCTCCCTCTAGCTTCCGGTACATCTTTACGCTAGTGTCATCGTCTCAAAAGGCAAAGGACCACACGATCTGAAACGTAAGAACACATCGGACCACAAACACTAGTACTACTCTTCAATTTTCTCTCTTGTTATATAGTACTGTACAGCACTGATGCTCAGTGCAAGATGATGTATAATTGGTACTCCATTTACCTACGCTGGATCAACAGTTCTTGATTCGATAGAAAAAGAAAGGAAAGCAATTGCACTGAATATGCTTTCTCAATGATGATGAATTTTTTTCCGAATATACTTTCTCAATGATGATGAATTTTCCTTTTGGGAAGTACATTAACAACTACTCCATCCGTTGCACAATGTAAATCATTCTACCATTTCTCATATTTATATTGATGTTAATGAATCTAGACATATATATCTATCTAAATTTATTTACATCAATATGAATATGGAAAATGCTAGAATGACTTACATTGTAAAACGGAGAAAGTCCGTAGAAACAGAGATGGCACAACACAAGTGGACTGGTGGAACACTGGAAATGATGCGGATCAAAACAACTTCAGGGAACGAGAGAAAACATACCCAAGATTACTTTGGTGGTAGCTGGTTGCCTGGATGGGTATAGTGACAGGGAAAAAGGAATGTACTGGGTGGTTGTTGATGAACGTGAGACAATTCCAGGATATATGGATTAACTGAAGAACGGAGAAATTACCCGTTGAACTGGCCAATTGGGTAGTTGTCTCTTCCAGCTAGCTATAGAACAAAGGGAATCAGCTCGGTTTATTTCTCGCTGGTTTGTAGTTCTGACAAAATCTGTTGGACATCAATCCACTCTAATCGTACATTTCATTGAGGCACATAAAGATGAGTTGGGTACTTGGGTTAGACTTAGAGAGAGAACTGGAAAAGGAGTTCAGGGACTTTACTTGGGCTCGCTCCTCGCGGACGGTAGTTGTGAGGTGTGGGCCGAGATTAAGGCCCATCCTCGAAAATGGACTCGTCCCTACCTCCTGACTACCATTCAAATACGGTACACTACTGACTGGACAATTTTTTTGAGAACTTTGAACTTCGCCAGAACATCAACGAAATGTACGATGAGAGTGGAATAATATCCAACAATTTTTGTCAGAAATACAGAACCAGCACTCAGCAGGGAGGATAAGGGTGTGTTTAGTTCACATCAAAGTTGGAAATTTGGATAAAATTATAACGATGTGACACGAAGTTGGAAATTTGTGTGTGGGAAAGTTTTGATGTGATGGAAAATTTGAAAGTTTGAATAAAAAGTTTGAAACTAAACTCGGCCCTAGCTGATTCCCTTTTTCTTCCAGAGCTGAAGAGAAGAGTTCAGATTGCAAATGTGTCAGAACTACAGACTGGACAAATAAACCTACCCAATTAGCCAGTTCTTCTGGATAGAAGTAGATTGCAAATGTTCAGATATGTAAGATTCAAAACAAGCATGTTGTTAATCCGTTATTTACTATGTTACGTGATTGTTCATAGCATTATACTACACCACTTTAATACTTTATAGGTACACACCAACATATTTCCGGCATATTTCCCAACAAATTCGGTTGCATACACTTTTGACAGTTTACACCACTTGCTACACTCCCCCGAAAAATCTCCTCCAGCACGGACTCCTCACCACCTCCTCCTCCACCTCCACCGCCGCTGGCGGCGGCGGCGGCGGCGGCGGTGGCGGCGCAGCCGGCGACTCTCCCCAGATCCCCTCGAGGACCTGATCCAGGCTGGCGGGGACCCCGCACGTGTCGGCGGCGTCGGGCGCGGCGAGCACGGCGTCGAACACCTCCTGCAGCCCCACCACGCGGCGGGTCACGGCGCGGCGCGCCTCCCGCACGGCCGGGTAGTACCCCGGGACGGCGTCGAGGCGGAGCAGCACGGCCATGAGCGCCTCCGAGAACCGCGCCCGCTCGCGCTCGTCGCCGCGGACGGCGTCCACTGTCTCCTGCCTCCGGAGCAGCCGCTCCAGCCGCGTCGCCTCGTCGTCGGCGCCGCGGACGGCCGCGGCGTGCCTCCTCACCAGGTGCCCCCGGAACGCGGCCTGGATCCTGGCCGCCGCCGCGTCGTCCGGCGGCCGCTCCGGGCCCGGGGTGGTAACCGGGATCCGCACGGTGGTGGGCCTGTGGGTGTCGGTGCTACCAGTACCCTTGTAGCTGGAGTACTCCCCCTCGCCGCCGCCGGCGAAGAAGAAGTGGGAGGTGGAGGTGTAGTGGTAGGAGCCCATGGCGCCCCAAACCTGTGCTTTGCCAATAGTACTATCTGGAATCTGGATGCTGCGCAGCGGCGAGCTCGCGTCTTTGGGAAAAGACGGGGGCGTGTGCTTTCATTGCTTCGCGTACAGGTACAGCGGCTTCACCACATGACTTTGCTTTTTTTGTGCGATTTGGAACGGATGGATGGTTTCGTAGATCAGGGCGTGTTGGGCGTGTTTAGTTAACGTTAAAATTAAAAGTTTGATTGGAATTAAAACAATGTGATGGAAAAGTTAAAAATTTATATGTATAGAAAAGTTTTAACGTGATAGAAAAGTTAAAGTTGAAAGTTAAAAAAAAAAGTTTAGAACTGAATTCGGCCTGAGTTGGAGGAGTGCGCTTATTAGCCAAAGCAGTGCGGCCGTGACGCCGAGTCGCCGACACAATTCACCAACAGTCGAATCCACCGAAAGAGACCCTGGAGCTCTCCAGAAACGTGATCTAGACGAGCCCCCACCGAATGCGACGGAATCAACCGCGCGCGGGCGCACGCGCGATGCATCATTTAGATCATTGCATCTGGATACCTGCTGATCTGCGCACCACCATGGCCGAAGTTTCAGGAGCCGATAAATGTTTTGTCCTCGCCGCGTTGTTGTTGACTCGAGCCACCACTGGTAGTTTTTGTTTGCTGCAACAACGGTGAGTGACTGACTAACACATGGTTTCTAACGTTTTCTCCATGCATTTGTTTTCGAACTCTCACTAATAAACCATTAATATATCTAATAAATAACGTTAAAACACAGCATCAATTTTTGGGAAAGTAATGCACCATCAACATTCAAGCCCACGGCTCCAGGGCTCACCGGCGCAGGCTTCCATCTAAGGATCTGGCAGCCCTCAAATTTCTTCACTGGTTTTTACTTTCGAATAAGTTCACTTTAGATCCCTCAATTTATCATCCAGGTTATAATTTGTCTCTAAACCGAAATACCAAGTATAACTCATCCCTCAACTCATAATACCGTGTCAACTTTAGTCCTTCGATGGTATAGTGGCCGGTTTTTGCTAACATGACGAGTGGAGCCTACATGTTAGCAGCGAACTCTTCATTCTCCTCTCCCTACATGTCAGCGGTCAAACTTAAAGAAGTTTGACTAGAAAAAAAAACAAACGATTTATAATATAAGACGGAGAGAGTACAAAGTATAAAGTTAACATATAGCTTGGAAAAAAAATCCAAGTGATTGATAAGTAAAATTTTAGAGAAATCATACTTTTCAATCAAGATAGAAATAATTAGATTAATTTTCTACCCATATAAACACAACTTAAGATACATGCCCGCGTATTCGCGTGGGCTAGTTCATTTTACTTTTACTGACTCACGCACACGTCGCATTTAACTTACAACGACAAACGACTCAAAGCTAGACAAAGGCTATGGCAGACCCAATTTGCAGAGCAGCTGGGTGATCAATCGGTCCCCAACAACACACACTGGCACGCTACTTATAAAATGCAACATCGTGTACCACGAGCCGACGAACGGATAGGTTCAGCGTCTTGCCTTCAAGGAGAGCACAATGACAGGGTACTTGGTCTTCACCTGCTCGAGGTGCTGTGCTACGTTCCGCGCGTACATGTCGAACAGGTCGTCCACTATGCACCTCCCGAAATGACGAGCGATGAGGGGCTCGAGCACGGCCCTGATGCACCTGGCGACGTTGACGCCGCTCCGAACGCTGTCCAGCGTCGCCACGTCGTCGTCGTCACTGTCGTCCTGTGGATCCCAGTTGGATTCGAAGAGCTGGATGTGGCTTATGTCGAACAGCCCGCTCTGCCTGATCACTGCCTTCACTTCGTCCACCGATGGCGAGTAGAACGGCAGGTTGAAGCTGTCCAGCTTCTCCTCCTCCACACGTCCCTGCATATTAGCAACAAGATCAATCAAATGTGTTCGTCTCAGTACTACATAGAGTGACTGGTTCAATGTGTTTGTATATATACCTCTTGGACTAGGGACTGGAGAGCTTGGGCAAGAAGCCCATACATGTAGCTCACTTCGCCGCGGAGCACGTCCCTGTTCTTCCTGCCCAGGAACGTCAGCACCATCTGGCCGCCGGAGACGAGCTCGTCGTGGCGTAGCGCCAGGAACTGCGAGAAGTCCTCCTGGAACTGCCTCTGGTACAGCTTGACCACCGACGGCGGCGTGGTCTCCCAGATGTACATGTTGCCCGCGTTCAGCACCTCACCGCTCGCTAGCTTGTCAGGCACCTGGATGTATGTTCTCATGTCAGTAAGAATCGAACGCAGGAGTTTCTCTCAACTCGTTACGGGAAATGAGTTACGTATAGCTAGCTCGATCATCATTTTCTTTTCCTAATTTTTGCACTGTGTTTAATTACCTTGGAGCGCCACATGAGGCAGTAGGAGGAGTGGAAGAGGTGGACGGAGCGGTCGGGGAAGAGCCTGGTGTAGAAAGAGCCCGGCAAGCCGGCAATGTAGTAGGGAGGCAGAGCCTTCCCAAACTCCATCTCGGCGAGCTTCTTGAACAGCTCGAGGGACTGGAACACGAGGTTGAAGTCGTTGCCGGGGAGGTCGTTGAGGAAGAACTGGACGTCCGCCACCAGCGAGGACTTGTGGTCGCATGATGAGCGGTTGGCCACCGCGCTGAGCACCTCGGAGACGACGAGGAGAGTGTTGGGCCCCGACGAGCAGCCGAGGTCGGCCACCACCATCTTGCCGCCTGCAGGCGCGCGGGAGAGGCCGGAGAGCGACGCGTGAGCTTCCTCGACGGCCTTGTGAAGCAGCGGCCTCGTCTTCAGGATGGCCTTCTCCTGAACAACATGTCAAGCAAAATCAAGCATGCATTAGCTTCATTCGGTATACCAGACGTGTGCAACATTAGTTGTGTTGGTTACTTCCTTTATTTCATAATGTAAGACTTTCTAGTATTATTTACATTCATATAAATGTTAATAAATCTAGACATACATATATATCTAGATTCATTAAAATCTATATGAATGTGAGCAATGCTATAAAGTCTTACACTGTGAAACGGAGGAAGTAATTGCATGCATGTGATTTGTTTGATCACACGGATTTCACAGTAGAAAGGGACTGCATACTTGAAGCCTTGAGTTGGCGGCGTAGCTGGTCTCGCCGTCGCCCCGGCTCATGTGGAGGTCCTGCTCTACCTTCATGGCTAACTACTAGCTAGAGCTAGCTGATCAAGACTAACGGGTAGCTTGCTCTGGAGAGACCAGGTTAACTAGCTAGGTAGTAATTCGTTACAATATATGGCTTTTGTTCGCTGTGGCTCTTTGCAGCTGAAGAGCACGAGTACTTGTCAATTTATAGGGCCAGCAGGTTGTGTTGGCGGTTAATAAGTCCATTACAAGTACGTACAATTTCTGTGACTTGTTTCTCTCAGCCTTGGTCGGGGCCGGGTGGTCTCGTCGACGCGCGTCGTCTTGTTTCACGCTAGCTCATGCATAACATGTGCTTCATCAGTCGACAGTCATCACTGCTCATCAATGTGTAACGCACTAACGCTCACTATGAACAAAAGAAAAAAGATAAATCCAACTTATGAACAGCACTAATACTATATTAACGCTCACATTTATCTCTTTTCCCCCTCAATGTGTAAAAAACCTGAAAAATATATACTCTACACTGTCACATTTATTCATAATTTGAATGTGTAGAGTATGGAGCTAGAGAGGAAGAAAGAGATGAGTATTTTATTAAGTTACCACGTCATTCGCCACGGGGAAGTGCGATGTTGGATAGCCAAACCAGAACCACATGAATTGGAGTTTCAAAAAAAAAAAGAACCACATGAATTGGGGAGCGGGGGGGTATAAATGTACGGATTGAATGGAAGGTGAGGTGTGTAATTTACCTAATTTTCGTAGTTGTTGGATATTACAACGTACTTTTACAATAATTGCGAAGGTAAATGAGATTAAACTCTACTTATTTATTCCGAACTTGTTTATAAACTATAGGGAATTACATAGAAATTAAGATGAGTTGTTGCAGAAAGTGCTTCCTGAGTCCATACTTCAACGTCTCACATTAAGATCTACATGGGTTCTCTCCATCACTCCAATCACCCTCCTTCTTTGCCTCCATCATCCTCACCAGATGCGATGAGGGAGGGGATCCGTCTCTCGTCTAATTTTAATAAGCTCTTAAGGTTTGTGTTGAATAAAGTCTTTAGCAATTAGATCTATTAAGTCATTTAAGGGTTTGTCTACCATGATTTTTCATGGAGTTAGGGTTGGTCATAGTCTTTTTTTTTTGTTAAAACAACCCGCACAAGATAGTGCAACGTTTGTATTGATATAGTAGAAATAAAATACAAGTCTATAGTCCTAGAAGACTATAGTCAAGAAAAAGAAAAATACAACCAAACCACGCGTCTACGTCTGATCGATCTTGCTGCTAAAAAAATAAAACACGCACACAACACCCCTAAGGAATGGATCTTCTAACGACGCCTCCAAGAAGGAAACGGCGCCAAGAATGCCGCCGCTGCCCATCCTAGAGAATCAGGATATGGTTTTCACCTAAAAAAACCACTGGGAGAGGAAAAAAAACGCAACAAGGACCCAAGGAGAACGCGGCGCCCGCAGGCGTCGCCATAGCCATCCTGAAGGCTAGATCTTCGCCCATATTTTCCCTACTCTCCCAGGTTATTGAGTGCCTGTTAGTTTTGACAATCACCACTAGCTAATCCTCTTCAACGCACAGCCACCACGCCGACGCCTTGTCGCCGGCCGGCTATCAAAGTAGGATCTCGACCTCCGGTGCGCTCCAGATCCATCCACATGGGTGGGTTGGAGAAGAAGATGGTGAGAGAGAAGAATGGATCCCCTCTCCCCTGTACTAGCCCGTCCAACGTGGCCATCTTGCGACGGCAAGCCGCCACTGCAAGGGTACTAACGCTTGGAAAGGAGCTCGCCGTAGCCTTCAAGGACCACTTCATCCTCGACCAAGCTACCCATGTCTCTCCAACGAGTCGCCTGATCGCATCGTTGTTGCGTCTGTCCTCATACCGCAGTAGCCTCGCCGCCGCATCACCCTAGGCCTGGCATGCTCCCACCCCGACAGGCTCGCCGCCACACCGCTCCAGCCTCCGCGTCAGCCTCACCGCCTCCGCAGCGCACTCTCCTCGTGCCTTGCTGGCCTCTCGCTGCCGGTCGTGCTCCTCCGTGCCACGACAACTTCCCCTCGGGAGCTCCACCACAAGCCTCTGTGCCATGCTCTGCATGCGCCTCGTTGGCCACCCACCGCCGGCCATGCGCCTCGTACTAAGCCAGTCTTCCTTTGGGAGCCCCACACCCAGCAGTCGCTGCCTGCTTCTCCCCATCCCCGTTGTCGTCTCCACCTTCCTCCAAACATTGGCAATTGCCCTTCGTCGATGCAGCGTTACCGCGCTGAGACATTGCATCGCTGCCGAAATTGGATATGGGAGCACCAGATCTGGCACCATTACCACCACCTTCGCTTCCGCGGCCGCCCTCCACAGTCGTCCATGCATCTGCCTTGAGGGGCATCAGATCCGACTTGCCCTTTCCGTGTCTGGCCGCCAGGGTCCGGCTACCGCCGTGCACCACTTCATCCTCCCACGCCGAGGACGGGCCTCGTCAGGTCTTCTTGTCTCTGCAGCCGCCTTCTCAGCTGGCTGCTCCGCCTTCCCAGCTGGTCGCTCGACTTTCCGACGGCGAACTCCGACGGAGGCGAGGTGTCAAGGTTGGGTGGGAGGTGGCGGCACGGGCGGCTAGGGTTTCGCTCCCGAGCCACTCGCACAAGAGTGATGCGAAGGCTTCAGTTCTATCTATGCGACTCTTTTTTGTCATAGTCTTTTGTTTTATTTTCTATTTCTATGTTGTTGTCTACTTTGTTTGCAAGAATCTAACCAGAGACATAGGAATATTTGTTTATCGGGTTGCTGATTACATAACATGTATTGCTTCATTACTAATTTTAAATTTTATAATTTTCAAATGTTGGAAAAAACCAAAAAAGAAAGAGTATATGACATTTCCAATTACATGTTTTATTTAATATGACATACTTCGTAGAATATAAGCTCGATCAATCCAATCAACAATGATCTTTCTGGTTAATATGGAAGCTATGATTTATAATCTTGATTGGTTAGCGAATTTCGAGCTGTATCGATACGTTGATTTTCACAGTTTCCAAATGAATTTTAAAAAGTCAAAACAAAACCCCCATTCGATATCTAAGCATGCTCGAGATGTTCAAAATTCACAAAAATCGTTTGGAATTAATAAAGATTGTGAACACTGGTGCAAGCTCCCGCAAAGTGCTACTCCAATTTAGTAGCATTGGTATGGATGCAGGTCCTCTGCAGTACTGCATGTGCAGTACATGCAGTACTGCTCACTGACATGTGGGCCCCACAGCCCCTCGGGCCCAGATGTCAGTAAGCAGTACTGCACATGCAGTACCACAGAGGATCTCAATTGCATGGGTATAGATGTGGGAGAAAAATAGACGTAAGCAGATAGGTCACCTAGTAAGATATTACTTAGTTCCTTGTCTCTATACTGTGCGAGAGTCACAGATTTGTTCGTCTTTTGGTCTTTTGGTCTATTTGGTTCAGCTTTCTTTGAGCTTGTGAAAGAAAAACGTGAGCACACGAGTCACATCACACGCCCCCATCTTTCAGTCCTTTCATGTCCTTGGCTCCCCGCATCTTTCAGCCATTTCCTTTCGTCCTAGCCTCCTGGCATATCGTCCTAGGCTGACTTGCTCGGCCGCCGCCCGTACAGCCCAAATACTCGGCCAGTCGGCCTGGCAAATGAAATATGCTTGCTTGTTGAATTGAAATTGCGCTTGAGTTGTATGCGTGGTGAAAAATTCTCTCACTATGCTTACGCCTATCTTGTCAGGAGGCAGGCACGTAACTTTGCTTAGTTTCGCTTGTCGCAGTCTGCTTATTAGTGTCATACTCGCTCCATTCCTAATCGATCTTCATATATGATTTGTGCATCAATACCAAGACAATCATGTGGAGCACTTAATCAGCATCAAAAACATACATTAGCGTTTCGTATCCGTGAATGTAACGCCATCAATTTTACATGCCGTGTGGCTGGCCAATCAGTTGTGAGCGTATTAAATCGATGCATGCAGCGGCTCCTAATCAGTTCTACATGCCGTATAGCCTAACCAATCAGATGCATGTAGTGTTCGTTAGGAAGTGTCATTAACGTCCTTCCCGGGATTTTCATCTCCTCCCCACCGTAATGCGACAATCAAAATGGAATTATTATTTTTTTTGCAATACGATGATCAAAAGGGAACGGAGGGAGTACTTGCTTATTAGTGTCATACTGTACATGACCTCCTATCCCCAACAACCGTCTCCGCGTATTACCGTTGTATGCTACTCTTTTCTAATATATTGACGTGCAAAATTTCTGCACATTCGTGGAAAAAAAACACACGTCCTTGATGATAAGAGCAAGTTCAATAGTATAGCCAACTACTGGCTCCAATTCATCTATAGCCAATCTAATACATATTCATACAATAGTTACATACTACACTATCAATAACTGGTCCCACCTGTCATACACACATTATGTATTGGAGTCCGTATTACAGCTGGCTATAAATCTGTAGCCCGCTACACTTCTCTCTCCTCATTTATCTTCTTAAAATATATTTGTAGCTAGCTTATAGCCTGCTATTGTATCTGCTCTAACAGAGGCCAGAATGTTCGGGCCTGATCCCCACGAGGCCAATGTGTGTCAACATGCTGTAGCTGAAAGCCTGAAATCAACAATGCCTTGCACGCGTTGTTGACCAACCTGGACGCGTGCGCCGCTTGTGCAACAGTGCAAGTCAGTTTCGGACTCACCGCGCGCCATGCGGTTGTTGACTGTTGTGAATGGGGGTAGAAATCGCCCGCGTAGCAGCCGCGCGAAGCCACGGCGAGCTAGCGCGCGCGGCCGCGGCCGCGGAACCCGCCGTGCGTGTGCGCTTCGCCGGATGGTAGCGTTCATGCGCGTGAAACCGCTGACCTTGGGTTCCATCACCCACGCGACCTTGGCCGGCCGTACACTGGCTGCGCACGCATCACTTCCCGTCCGCGATTGGAAAAAGTACGCACCAAAGGTCCCTCAACTTGTCAACGAGTTATAAAATTGTGTCCTAACCACAAAACTAGATATACGACATCCCTTAACTTACAAAACCGTCAACTTTAGATCCTTCTATGGGTTTGATCCCGGTTTTATCCGATATGGTAGCTGAGCCAGCATGGAACCCACGTGGACCCCACATGTCGGTGTGTCCATGTCAGCACCTACTCTCTTTCCCCTCTTCACTTTCTATGTTTCTCCTTCCTTCCTCCCTCTCGCTCTCTGCTTTCACACAGGCATGGCACTAGGGTTGGCGCCCACGGTGGCGCGCGCGGCTAAAGGGTGGTGCGGCTGGCGACGGTGGCTCCCGGGGATCTTAGCTTCCCCAGGTGGCGACACACGGGCTCAGAGCGGCACGAGCTCGCCGGCCTCCCCGCACCCCTCGTGTGGGTCAGCTGGAGGGGCGAGGCAGGAAAGGGCGGCCGGCGACGGGTTGGGCGCAGGCGGGCGCCGCAGTGATGGGCACAGAGGTGGAAACAGGCACCGTGGTAGCCGTTGGTGAGCTTCTTAGAGGCAACAGACAAGCAATGGAGGAGCTGGAGGACCTCGACGGTCGAACCCGAAGCCATGAAAGGCCTGCACCAAGATCGATTCAACGGCGCCGCCATCAAGTTGCTGTCGTCGGTGATGGCGGTGCACGGCTACGGCGGCGGGGGAGGCGGAGGAGACGACACCGCCGCACGCGTCTGCACCGTGTGCCTGCTCGAGTTTGCCGACGGCGACGAGCTCCGCACGCTACCGCTCTGCGCGCACTCGTTCCACATGGACTGCGTAGATGTTTGGCTCCGTGCGCACGCCTCATGCTCGCTCTACCGCAACGCCATCGCACTCCCATCCCCGGTGTGCGCCGCCTGCGCGTGTGCTAGAGCCTCGATGACCTCCTCTTCTTCCACCCCGTCCCGCAACCACTCCACCTCCATGCCCACCGCCGCGGCGCCTGCCTGCTCCCGACCCGCCGTCGCCGCCGCGTTGCCCCTTCTCTAGTGTTGCCGATGTCGCGCCACCGCACCGCCCGTCGCCAGCTGCCCTTTCCCACATCACCCCACCGCCTGGCCCGTATGAGGAGAAAACTGGGAAAGAGAGAGAGAGAAGGAAGGGAGAGAAGAGAGGAAAGAGATGATGATGACGTGGTCACCCTGACGTATGGGGCCCACATGGGTACTATACTAAGTCAGCTGTCACGTCAGACAAAACTAGAGTCAAAACTATCGAGGGTTCTAGTTTGCACTGGTTTTATAAGTTGAGGGATGCGTTGTATCCGATTTTACGGTTGGAGGACGATTTTGTAACTCGATGACAAATTGAGGGAACTTCGGTGCACTTTTTTCGTCCGCGATTCGCAATCTCCCATGGGCCAAAGGTAGTGGGTCGTGATGGGAGCGTTGGGCTATAATCCCTACCTGGCTGTTCTCTCGTGTGGGCTTACCATCGCATAAGGCCGGCTTGTTTCCTTTGGTTTGCGTTGTCAATGGTAGCCGGCCCAGTTATTGCCCGGTTGGCCGGTTATCGACGACGACGAATAGCGTAAAAGTCAAGCCATAATTCGATAGATTTTGATGAAATTTCTGTGAAATTTGTTGATAACCAATCCGTTATCGTGATAAGTGTGGTGTTATCGCGGTAGTAGCAACATAATTCCTTCTCTCTTTTCGCGTGCTCACCGTTCCTCGGTGGGATAGCCCCTGAAGTCATGAACACGTCGGCGCAGCCCAGCAGCAGAAAGTTCATCTAAGTGGACTCTGGTTACTATTGAAATCTTTTTTTCTTATAAAAAAAACTACAAATACAGACGCTTATAAGTTATAACACGTTCACACTCACCTCATGATGACACATACGTACACCCGCATCTCAGGCATAGCTTGAGATTAACGAAATCAGCACGAACATCTCACTATCGATGGTATGTCACTTACCACTAAAATAATAATTAGTCGTAAATGCGAGTACTTATATTTTCATCACAAAGAAATATATTTAGTTAAGTTATGTTTACTTCGCGCTACTGAAATCTCATCTAGATATTTTTACGAGCATCGTATCGTAGTAACGGAGTGGAGCACTCAACGTTTGGCTCAGGGCCGTGCACAGGGGTGTGCGGCCCGTGCGACCGTACAGGGCCTGCAAATTTCTAGGGCCTCAAAAAATCAGCCCAACCAAAGAAGGCACATGTATTTGTATGAGGCTAGAGCGCCAGAACCCCGTTCGAGTCCGCGCGTATCTCCGCGTGGCGACTTCGCGTGCGTGGCGCTTCGTATTCTCAACTTCGAGCCCCGAGGCCCCACAACGTTTTGTATTCTCTTTCGTTTTCGTATCTGTGACTTATTCAATTTGTCTCGAGTCTCGACGTCTCGTCTCCTCCGAGCACCAGGCCGCCAGCCGGCTCATCCAATTTCACATTTTCATTCAACTAGCGAATAGCAACTTAGCAAGCAACCAACAAGCAAGGCACTAGGCAGCAAGCCAGCAACATCAACAAACATTCTCCGTTTTCAGTTTGACAGTTTCTAATTATACAAAACAAGAGTTAAAAAATATACTATTCTTGATATATCACATTTGTTTTGCAGTATATATATTATTTTAGCTATATTTGGTACTTGATTTAGGCCTCACTTAGAGCCTTGTACAGGGTCTACAAATTTGACAGCACGGCCCTGGTTCGGCTGGATCATGACTCATGAGAACTCCGGCTCACCTATTTCAAAACCAGAAAAACAAACCGGCGGTCCGCGTTTGATCTAGGCTGTGTTTAGATCCAAAGTTTGTATCCAAACTTCCAACTTTTTTCATCACATCAACCTATCATAAACACACAAACTTTCAATCACATCGTTTCAATTTTCAACCAAACTTCCAACTTCACAGTGAACTAAACACAGCCATAATCGCATTCCACCATTCCTATTCGCGACCAGACCACCTGGACCATGCGTAGCGTAGCTCCCTGCCATCCTGCCACTGTTGAGTACCTTGCAGCAGGCAAGCAGCCAATCTGGCAATGCCTCTGTCTGAGCACATCCATCCGATTCAACCTCGACTACTTGTTTCGCATGGATCCAGATTTTTACTTGTTTGGCATGGATGGATCCAGAATTTTTACTTCTAGCCGACGACGACGAGACGGGTCGAGATCGATCTCGTGGTACTACAGTAATTTTGAGGCCGGGAGGCGCTGTGCTGCCGATCAAACCAAAAAAAAGAAAAAAAAACGGAGTCAAACCAGGCAACCAACCCGGCAAGCGCGGCGTCTCTCGCCCGTGTGTGCGTGTCTCGGGCGTGATGCGAGCCGCGTTGTGATGCGGGTGGTTGGCGAGATCCCAAACAAGGGAACGCACGACGCGGTCGCTGCGCGCGGCTGCGCCTGCGTGCCGAGGCGACAGACCGACCGACCGACCGATCGATCGAGGCAAGCACGCACGCACGCACGCGAGCAAAACGACAGGCGGGCGTGCGAGCGAGCGGAGCGCCAGCGACGACGACGACGACGACAACCCCTACCGCGATCACTCGTATCGGCCGCCATTGGGTACCATCTCCGCTCTCAGCCTCAACTACTCAAAAGGCATCATCCAATGTACAGTCCTGTGCCTACTGCTAGTCTGAACTCTGAACCATGAGCGTTCGTGAATCCGTTTTGAAGGGGAAAAAACAAGGAGAGCACAAACTCGAGCACCAATGGGGAGCTTTTGAAAAGCTAAAGAACATGGGCAGGGTGCTAAACTCTAAGCTCTAGCCTTGCATAGTTGCATTGTTTTAGGCCAGCATGTGTCCGCGCATCCAAAATTAAGGAACTAGTGGTAGCAATTTACTGGGTAGGGATGGCAATTCTAGTCCGATACCCACGGGTATCCCACCCGATGAGCGTAGGTTTATTTTGTTACCCGTGGACATGTTTGATCCGATATCCAAAATTCTTTTGAGCGCATATGGGTTTTATATTATGCCAGTGAGTAACCCATGTCAGACCTGATATATGTGTCTATTGCTGATTTTGACGCATTCCTATTTCATTTGGTCTCTAATCTCAACATGTACTTATATATACTCAACATATATAGAACTAATCTAAACACAAATGCGTCTTATATATAGAAAATTTTCCGAACCACTTTAAAACAAATGTGTCTGGATATAAAAAAATACTCAAACCGTTTTCACCCCTAGACAAGGGATATCAAGTCTTAGGCCGGACGTGTTAATGTTCCGTCTATTGTCTGATCCGACCCATTGCCACCTCTACTCTTACGGAGTACTACTCTACCCTAAAAAAGATGAACTGTAGCTATAAATTTGAACACACAGCCACATATCCAAATTTATAACTAGAACTTTTTACGGAGGAGCACTCCTTAGGTACAGTATATTACTCTCCTACTCACCACATCATCCATCAGTAGTCACCACAGTACTAGTCAGAAGGGAGGCAGCACTGTGGCGTGGCACGCCAGACAAATGGGCCGGGCCCCACGCGTCAGCCGGCAGACTGCAGCTCGTAGGTTGTGCTCGTCTAGTAAGCCCGTGTGGTCATCTCCTAATGCTGCTGCAGCGTCTGCATGCGGTGGTGGGCTGGCTGGACTCGAGGAGGACTGGGCAGCAGCGCAGCCGCAGTGCAAGGCAATGGCAATGGCAATGCAGATTGCAGAGAGAGCGAGGCAAATGAGGCTGGTCCCTGCCCTGTCTGCGCAAGTACTAATAATCCGACCACAATTTATGGGAAAATCAGACAGCGACGACTGCATGTGCGGATCGTGCGCTAAGTTTTTTTGGTTTTGGTAGGACTCCCATCCACCGTAGTATCAAACTATCAAACAGCCCAAGTACTAGTAGAATATATTGTGCATGTATGTGTAGGACGCGTAGTACCGGTGAGAAAAATGCTCTTGCAGGCAGCAGCGAGGCTGGGGGAGTGATCGCTCTCGCACAGTGACAGTGCCACAGTGGCACGCACACACAGACGCTGACACGCAGCTAGGCAGGCCATTAACGCCTTTGAGAGTTCTCCAGGCGATGGCAGTAAATGGCTAAATGCATGCTGCTGTGTGATGAGCTAGCTAGCGCGCGGGGCTTCAAGGACGAACAGGGGAAGAATTAAATGAACAGATGATGATCGCAAGTGGCAGTGTGATTCCTCCTGGTGTGGTAGCATTGTGGCATGCATGTAGGATGAATATGCAATTCCAGTGAAGGAATATGAAAGTGTTGAAGATGCAGGGATATGGCACAACTAGTTAGGAATGAAAGAGGCATTTCTTGCCCCTTGGGCAAAGGACAGCATCCGGAATGCATGGTTAGAGTAGCAGATATATATGCCGCAGCAGAGACAAGATATTCCCAACCCATGCTACAAGAATTTGATCGTAGATTTTGGTATCATGCAGAGTCAGAGATGCTGTGTTCTTTGTTCTTACTATGTCACCACACAGTTTAAAACTTTTTGTTCTTTCGAAAGGAGCTCGAAAAGCTCTTGTGTAAATATGTTGTCCTGCTATGCTACCCAAATGCCAAAGGGCAAACTGTACCCGCCTTGACTCGTGGTACTTGCCGAGAGCCTGTACGCGATGCTGCGTACTGTTTCAGCAGCATGCGAACGAGACGGGCATTAGGATTTCAGTTAGCTACTGTGCACCACTGACCACACTCCTGTCATGGAATATTTACAGCTATAACTAAGCAAGAAGATCGAGTAATTGGCGCACGAAAAAAGAAACATAGAAATCATCACGCTGTTCTAGCTTTTGCAGATCACCAACCTCAATTCTCACCACAGGAAAAACGATACAGAGATCAATCGACCAACGCGAGCGACGACTCATCATCCAAAACGCGAGAGGTTATTCACATTTCACAGCGCCCTCTGCAACAATGTCGCCGCAAAGGAAAAAAAAGAAAAAGCTAAGGCAGCAAAAGAAATCAAGAAAGCTTAAGCTAACACCAAAACGATCGAGAAGTGAACTAATAGCTAGCTAGGAAATGATAATATG